ATGCTGGCAGGTCCAAGCTGATGGCCAGCTGGTGCCATCCTCCCCGATGTGTGCACTCAGTAGAGCAGGTCTTTCATGAGTCCCAGGCCCTAAAAAGGAGAAGGAGGGAATTGGACCACAAGAGCCCAATCCTTCTGGGTCACAGGGCCCACTCAGTGCAGCTACTTCAACTGCTGCACAGAGGGCGCCTCCCCTGATGTAGTGCCCGCTGCAAACCTCTCAGGCAGCCTGCACTGGAGCTTGGCAGCTTGTGCTTAATGAGGAAAGAAATGCAGGGAGCTTGTGCCTGCCTCTCCAGACAAGGAGAGAGCCGGGGGAGGGGGAAGCCTCCTCTAGATATCTGTGCCTCCCTCTAGCCAAGGGGAGGGCCTCCCAAGCTCACAAGAATGCAGGAGCCGGTCCTGGTGACAGCTGGGGAAAATTATTCACACTGTCAGGAGAGAGGTTTATACCATGATTCTGTTCCAATACTTTATTTTTAAATCCCCCAGCTGGCTAGGAGCTTAGAAGGAAAAGATGTGACAATCATTTGCATCTTGTTCCAGATGGGCTGTCACTCAGGGTCCAGAGAGCCTAATGGGGCTGGGCTTGTGGTCACAAAGAATGTGTGGCCCATCAGCAACTCCCTCAAGCTTTGCTGGATTGATTTATGACAGCTCACTGGGATCTGAGGACTATGTGGCAGTGGCGGGGTGGCTGTCCCTGGATACCAGTGGCGATCTAACAACTGTGGCTCAGCAGCTACACTTCCAAAGAGAACAAATATACAACTGTCTGGCTTCTAGCCAGGGGTGACATTCCTATGTGTTCTCTTCACTCTTGCCACACAATGTCCACAGTCAGTTGTCTGGCTCAGACACTTGAGGTGGGTGGGGGACACAGGTCCTTCTTTTCTGGACAAAGAACAAAAATTAGCCTCGTGACTGGAATGCCATTTGTCTAGGATGGCTGGCCTCAACCCTATTCATCATCCCTACTCTGTAAGGTTGAGTCTGCCTCAACTGTAGAAGGCAGATGCCCAGTTAATGGCCTCTTCCACCAGCTGGTACTGCATTCCTGTCCAAGGGCTTATTCTGGCAGCTTGTGGCTGTTTGTACTCCATGTTGATGATAGGCGGCAGTACCTACATTCAGTTTCCAGAAGGGTAGAGGTGGCACACTTGACCTTTGTGGCAGTATCCTGCATCAGAGGCATCTGTAAGCCTAGGAGCAATTGGGAGACTTGGTTCTGGTGATATGTGACTTAGCCAATCTTCTTTATGGAATATCTTTCGTATTTACCCAGCTAGGGTTTGATTTTGTTATTTGCAAATAAGAACTAAGACATTTGGCCAAAAGTGACACTACAGCCATGAGAGCCGAGGGTCAGTTACTGGTATCTCTCCTTGGCAAATCCATCATGAATGTGTGGCTGAGATGACCCTTCAAAATACGAGAAGTGGGTGGAGTGATTGCTTGCAAGAAGGGCCTAAGTTTAAACCTTCAAACTCATAAAGGTCAGGTACAGCCATACGGGTGCCTCTAGCTCTAGCATCATATGTGCACTTGGATGTATATACACACAAGTGGGGCATGTGGGAGTACAGACCAGAGGCTTGCTGGCTTCCAGTTTATCTCCAGATTCCAGGGCCCTGCTTTAAGGGAATGATGAGGAGAGTGATAGAGGACACACAATGTCTTCCTCTAGCTTCTAAATGTGCATAGGTGTACACTTCTACACCACACATACACTTCAAAACGGAGCTAAGGAATGTCCTAAACAACAACAAAAAAAGGAGTTACAGAAGTAGCTATCCCTTGTGCCCCACGGAGATGCAGCATGGTCAACCCAAAGCCCTGTCCTTTGCAAAGCTTGGCACCTCAGCTGCACTAGCTGGAGGTGGAAGGCTTCAGCAGCCACCAGATTTACAATGGAGATGTGAATGTCAACAGATCAGCATGAATAACTCTCGGATCAGCAGCCTGGTCAATGTCCCTTCCTCTGAGGGCTTCAGAAATGAGCGGGCTGCTCGTTATCTGCCACCATGCATGCCCAAGTTTTTATGTGCTTAGTTAGGGATGCCTGGCCACGGCAGGCATGCGGTAAATGCCTTCGGATTCATTTGTTCATTTTTCAGAATAGTTATGTACTGCAGTAAGGCAAAGGGAAAGTCACACAAGTTCAGAGTTCATTGGTTCTATTGATTCCAGTCCGTCTAAAAAGGCATTATAGTCCCTAAAAAATGCACATGCACATATTCTCTTAGAAATATAGTTCTCTGATGGAATTTTTCCTTACCATCAATCAGGACACAGCATAAGATTGGAAGCTAGTCTTAGTAACCCATCTTCTTATTCCTCCGAGATTTCCCTCAGTAACTCAAGGTTATGGCTTTTTCTAAATGGCTTTCTGATGGAGAGAGACAAGGGGGATTGGGCTCTGAGGGGGCAAAGGGCTGCTTTTTTCTTCACAAGCAGAACTATTCAATGGCCATGTCTGGGAGAACAAAAGGCATTCTGGGAACATGATGTTCTTCCATCCTGCAAAGAACAGAGCCGCAGATGGCAGGGACTTCAAAAGCTGGAGTCACCTCGAAAGAGAATGGTACACAGGGAGAGATGGGAGACTGTTGTCCCCTTTGAAAAGGAAGCAAAAAGTCAAAGTGATTTGTTGAACTTGTGCACAAATCAACAGAATGGAGACATGACTCCACTGTAATTTATAAAGAGGCCAAACCTGTCATCTTTTCCAGAAGTAAATGACCTCAATCAACTGGCAACTTGTTTCTCTTGACTGGTGGGCTCTCCTTTTTGTTTTACAAGGAACATTTGCATTCTTCCTATCTGGGAAGCTGAGGCCTAGGAATCACACTTTCCTATGCCTAAGAAGCAGGGTAGACTAACCTGGAAGATTTACGCACGCACGCACGCACGCACGCACACACCTGCCCCGAGCTCCTGGATATGACACAGCCTGCCTTCACTTCAGATGGCTTGGTGTTGTCCTGGGATACATCTGGTCACCTAACCGCCAAAGGACGGTTCTGTACCTGCCAGGAGGCCTCTTACTCTTTTTTGCAAATGGGTAAACTAAGGCAAAGGTCAACTCCCTCACCCAAGATCAAGTACTAGCGTCAGTGCCTGGGAAGTGAGCTTACCTTTGGTAAAACCTAGGCAAGCAGATACAGGGCAGCCTACTGCCTTTCAAATTTGGTATGTTAAATATTAACTCCTGCATTCACTGATGTGTCCTCTGAGACCACATTCTAGTCCCCTGCAAAGGTTAAAAACTGGCTTGTCATCTTTGGGAGGAAAGGCAGGAAAGAGGCTCCCTGACATGCTCCTGGGAGTTGGGGAACAGCCAGCCAAGACAGAGGCCACAGGGGCTATGAGGCCTTCTCCCCACCAGTACCCCCAGGCAAGGATGATGTCAGGATGGGACTGTCATCATCTTCTCAAACTTCTGTCCCTCTTGGGCATGGCATCGGCTGCTCGCTAAAGGGATCGTCTCGGAAGCCTGCTCTCCTCCCTTGAAGCTGGCAGCTTGCTGCCTGTGGAAATGCAGTCCTATTTTGGGACTTCATTTGAAAGAGATTTCAAAGAGCGGCTGGGAAGCTGCAGTGAATTGCTTATGGTGGCTCATCTCCTTGGCCAGAGTCTCATCTTGAGCGCAACCCAGCAGCTGCCACTTCTCACGTCACAGCCACATCACTGGCAAGCTAAGAGTGTTCAGAATTAGCACTGGGCCCAGTCTGAAGAGCTCTACTTCTAGAACTTCTCCCATGCAGCATTGGGCACTTTCATGCTGTATGTTTGAAATTATCTACCAGGGAACCTCTGTCAGTCAGTTAATTACATGACTCTGACCCTGGTTTATGTTGAAAATGGTCTTTAAGATAAAAGAGGGCAAGAGACATGGCTCAGCAGGTAAGAGTGCTTGCTGCTCTTCCAGAGGACCTGAGTTTAGTTCCCAGTCCTAAGTCAGGGTGGTTCACAACTGATAGCTCCAGCTCTTGGGGATCTGATGCTCTCTTCTGGCCTCTGCAGGCACTCCTACATAGGTGGCATACACTCACAGACAAGCAGATAAATACATTCTTTTAGAATGGCCTAGAAGTGGTAAGGAAGAGCAGGGCAGCCTGGCGCCTTTGGCTCTGAGAATAAAGTGAAGTCAGTCCTGGATCTCCACTCTGAAGGACACTGTGCACCTCCAAGCACCATTTTCCCTTCTCTCCACACAAACTCTGAGAAGCTGATACAACAGCCTGGTTTCCATTTCAGAGGGGAAGACTCACCGTGAATCGGAACCTATCACAATCAGATGGCAATGTAGCACTTGGCTGCAAGTTGACTTTGTCCTTCACAGAAACTATTCTATTGGATTAAGGTCTCTTTATTTCCAGGCCCCAACATTTACAGAGGAACTTTGGGTGACTGTCCAGGTAGCAAGATGTCCTGTCAATTCAAGAGTTTATATATTATCCTTCTGTGGTCTTTGATAGAGTTGAAGACAGATAGTTATGGTTATAGTTTTCTTCAGTTATTATAAAAAATAAGATACCCTTTTTATTTAGACAGAAAAGAGGAGATGATGGGGGAAATACTTCTGCGTATGTTTATAAATAAAGTACTTGCTTGGCCAATGAGACAGCAGGTTAGGCTGGACTAGGAGTCAAAGAGGATTCTGGGAAATGTAGTAGAGAAATGATGTTCCAGACAGGAAGTGACATAGCAAGGAGATTCATATTTAAGAAGAGGAAAAAGAAAGTGTCGCTCTCTTTCCCCTCGGCTCCTGCTCCAGCGGCACGATGTGATCCACCAGCTAGGAGGGACGCCAATAAGGCGTCCGATAAGTCTTATAAAATATATAGATGTATGATAATTGATACTGAGCTAACAGATGAGAATCCTAGTCATTGGCCAAGCAGCATTGTAACTAATACAAGTCTCTCTGTGTATTCATTTGGGCCTAACTTGGGCAGGTGGCTGGCGTAAAGCTTACACGTGGCAGTGGGGCTCAGCGGCGTTTGGCAGAAAGATTTATTGTAACATTTATCGTAACACTATTCTTTCAGTTGTTTATTCCTATCCCAACATGGGGAAGACCAGACTTAAAAAGAAACTCCATTCACCGGGACAGTGGCAAAAGATTTGCCAGACCTTGTTAGGACTCTGCCTTCTCTGCCATAGTGCCCAAAAGGGTTCGGGCTCCCAGGCTATTTTTAAGGGAGCATTGTTTCTACAGGAACACACCACTAATTTCCATGGCAAATGCTGACTCATGCTCGGAGCACGCACGACAGTGCTCTCTGGGTGCAGGGATACACACAGGCCTTTCCTTCCACGGGACGCCTGCCTGTTCTAATCCTAAAACAACAGTCTGGCTATCAGAAGAATCAGAACCTCACCTTCCTTTTTGGTTGTTTTTTTTCCTGGATTCAAAAGACAAGGGATTTTCCTAACTTGGGAGGAGATTCCTGTAATTTGTGGACAGCCAGGACAAGGTCCTCTGAAGACTATGAGCTAACATTAATTAGGGCCAATCAATTTAGTTCATTTGGGCAATGAGGAATTACAGGCCCTGAACAGAGTGAGAGGTTAGGCAAAATTAAAAAAAAACAGAATTATTATATTTGGTAAACAGTTTGGTTCCCAGACAGACTGCATTCTGTAAAGATGTTCCTTTGTCAAGGTCTGCTTGTCTAGCTATTGTTGCTGGAAGAATCTTTCCACCTTCAAGATGTGTCACTAGCTCATCGAACCTATTTCTGTAACTCTTGGTGAGAGCCAATTTAAGCTGGCTTCTCAGTTCACTCTGCACTCAGAAGAGACCAATTTCCAGTTCCTTTTCGGAGTCCATGAGACCAGATGCTGTGACAAATGTTCCAGTGAAATGAACCTAGAAAATGATCCCAGGGTGCTTCTCAGGGGAGAGGGGGATTCATCAGTTTTATCTGTGGCTTAAACACACATTGCTTCCAGCTAGAGTGCTGTCATCTCCCCGTGAAGCCTTCTGATGGGGTATGCATTGGGGAAAGGCAGATGAAAATTCCCAATGAGGCTACGGGACAAGTGACAGATTCAGAGGGTGACCATGTTTATGGGTTAGGCCTTATTGCATCTGGCAGCCTGAACTGGGCAGAAATTCCTGCAAATGAGAAGCCACTGCTTTTGTTAGGTAGGTCATTGTACCATAAGCCCCACTAGGAGCACTGTCATAAAAGAAATGACAAATTCCTGTGGCTTGGTCTTTTTCCAGGATGTCTGTGGCTCCAAATGACACCTGTAGCCAGAAAAAGCAGGAGAAGAAATGAGTGGAATCTACCTCATTTTTTAAAGGACTCTGCATGTTGAAGGTCTGCTGGACTCCAGATGGGCGGGGCTGGGAGCTGGAGGGTAGGCCTCACTGAAGAAAGCCAGTGCTATGAGGCGGATGAGATGATGGTGGTGGTAATGTTTTGCCTCTTGTAGATGCTGTGTCCTCAGAGCTCTCCTTTGGTTGCTGAGCACTGATTCTTTGAGAGGACAGCTTCTTTGCCTGACTCAATTTTGTACACAGGGTAAGTAGTTTACCAAGAGCCAGGTTTGCAACAAGTGGTAGTAGTGTCTGGAATAAAACCTACACTAACATAGACCAGATTCCCCAAAGGTTGTTAGGTTTCCCAAGTGGCCACTTTGCCATTTCCTAACCAAATGGTTGACATTTGTTCACCATCTGTGATGACATTTTCCTGGTTTGAATATATGCCTCCCAATTGGACACAATCCCCAGCATTAACAGACATAAATGGCAACCAAACTGACTACCCAGCTTTGGCAGTGGGGTGAGTGGGTGGCCTAGTCATACTCACCTGGTCCTGTAAAAACAGCTGATTGGCCAGCTGTACAATCTGGTCTACATGGATGATGCCCCCGATTCTGTCCATCTCTGTATCCGAGAGCAGTGTCAGTACCATGATGGCTTCCACCAGCAGCTGTCGATACTCGGGCTGGGACACACGGTTGAGCACTGACTCCACATGGACAGCAAACTTGATCTCACATGCGGTCATCTACCCAAGGGATCGGCAGATTTCCAGAGTGAGATTTGGGACAGACAGAGCCCTATTGTCAATGCTGCCCTTAGCACTACCAGGGCTTAGCTCAAAAGCTGTCTCCCTCCTGGACACTGTCTTGACTGTAGCAGGGGCCACCTGGAGCATAGGCTGACTGCTTTTCCATGAGAGCCAGCGGGCGTGGTTCTAGTTCCTTTTGTCTACCCACTGTACTGTGACTTCTAGGGAGCAGGGACCATTCCTTATTTCTTTCTCTTAAAACAAAGAGAAATTCCCTGTGGCATCAAGCCTGGTACCTTGGGCAGGGTAAAACAAAACAAAACAAAATCTCTTTTTAAAAAAAGCTTGGAGGTACCAGGTGTACCCCAGAATGCATGATGGCAAATACAGCACAGGAAAGAGTGCTCGTGGATAAAGCGACCCCTGCATATGTCTATTGTGTGTGGGATAGAGTTTGCATGGAGTTTTAAGGGTCCAGGTAGTATACTATAATGGTATTTCCGAGATGGTGAGAGGGTTAAAGTGATCAGACCTACAGATGGCCTGTCTACCTAGAACAAACTTGCGAGGCACATGAAGAATCAGCCATGAGGCGAAGCCATGGAGGGGCTGGTATTTGGGTTTTGTCACCCTACCTCTTGGGTTGTTGAGGATGGAAGGACATAACCATCAATGGACAGACCATGGCACTAGAAGCAGAACAGACATTTCAGTCAGACTCCAGAACACCACAAGTGTGTGCTTGCTCACACACTCACGAGTGCACACACAACTTTCCTTGCCCTGGAAATCTGCACGAGGGCTGGAACATGCCAGACTGTCAGAGTTATTTTTAGAGCGCTGTTCTCACTGCCCACAGGCTGTGTTTTCGATGGAACAATTCTGGGGAAACCAGCAGGCATCTTTCAGATCGGTGCAGGAACAATGTCCCAGGGAGCTGCTGCGTCCTCCTCCCAAGAGGCTCTGCATTGCACTTGGCAACTGGGCCTGGGGGCCTGCCAGGCCCCCTTTGGTGCCATAATGAAGGGAGATTTTCATGGCTCCCATTGGTGAAGTTATGCTCCTGCGCCTTTGCAGTCATCTATTTTCGAGATTTCTATAATAAGCACCAATCACAAAAGGCTGGAGCACATGCACACACACGCACACCCATGTATATAAATACCAATAAAACGCAATACAAAATGCTGCTTTTTCATAATAAAAGCATATTGGTATTGGGCCAATGGAAGTCTGGCCGGAAGTGTATGGTGCCCCAGGAAGACTGAGGAGATTTTCGAGGAACAGCTGGGGCTTGTCTAACTGGCCACCTTTTACCTTTCAGTTGGCAACAGCTTCTCTGCCTTCAGGCCAGCCTGAGGGCTCCCCACTAAAATCTAGAAGGGTAGACCTAGGTAGGGCCTCTGCAGGCTCAGAGGGCATACCCGCTCTGCCCTCTGACCCAGCTTGGCAGCTGTCTTGAGCAAGGCCTCAGGTGACAGAGCATAGCCCCGAAGCTCTGTGACTGGCCCTGGGCTCCTGCTGTGGAAAGAAGACCATGAGCCCTGACTTCACAAAGGACCTAGAATATGTTCCCATTTGGGATTATAGCAGTCTTCTCCTCTCCTACTGTGAAACAGCCTAAAAAGGAACAGTTCAGAGAAAAAGGAAATTTGTCTTGCTTTGCAAAGCTTTTAAATGAGGCATACTGTCCCTCCATGGGGGAGGCAGGGCAGCCTCTGGTGGGGCCTTGGGAGTATGAATGTGGGAAAAGATGGATTGTGGGGTGTAGAAAGCAAAGTGGCCCTGTTTTCCCATACTACTCCCACTTTGGCAGCAGGTGTTTCTAAGACAGGCCCTGCTAGCCAGGTGATGGTGGTGTACATCTTTATTCCCAGCAATTGGGAGGCAGAGGCAGGTGGATCTCTGTGAGACTAGCCAGGTCTACAAGACCTAATTCCAGGACTGCCTCCAAAACCACAGAGAAACCCTGCCTCGAGCCCTCCCCCGCAAAGAGACAGGCCCTCCTGCATCCAGGGGTGTGTGTGTGTGTGTGTGTGTGTGTGTGTGTTGTAGTTTGTGGATGCGTCACTTCCTGTCAGTTTCAAACTATAAACTCTGATGAAATTTAACAGCCCCTAGGCAGATGGGAAGCATAGCCCTCTCACTGTCACAGGAGCAGCGGGGGTAGGCGCTCTGGGGGCTCTATTGTCCACTCATGGAAATGGGGGTAATCCAGGGCAAGAGGGAGAGTATGCCTTCAGGGCACATGGCTCCTGGGGTGAGGCTAGAGTCTTGTCTCTGTACCCCCAAGACCCAGCAGGTGGCAAGAGCTCCATCACATTGTTGAATGATATGGGTGCCATGTTTGTCAGCCTCAAGCCAGACCCAGAGTTAATGCCGCAGGTTCTCTATGACACCAGTTTTTGTTCAAGTCTTCCCTGCCCTCTCTGCTTGTTGTCTATCTTTAGTTTTCTATGACCCTAAACTATGCCAAAGGGTTGCATACAACCAGGGATGCTATTTTGTTGTGCCTTGCAAGGCCATTTGACAATGTCTGAAACTACTTTTGGCGCCATGTCTGGGAGAGGAGATGCTACTGGCAATCAGTGGGTAGACATTGCTTCCTGTACGACAGTGCCCAAGACAATACCATAGCAGAGTTACCTATTAGATGCTACAGTGCCAAGGCAGAGAGACCTTGTTCTAGGCTGAGCCATTCAATGTTGGGGCTGCATGTTTTAGAGCCATCTGCTTCTTGTTACCTGTCATGGCCATTATGCTTCCTGAAGGCAGGTAGAGTCTGGCCCATTTCCCCTGAGTCTGTGTCTCCTCAGCACCCACCTCACCTTCTGAAGGATCTTCCACACTCTCTGGTAGAATCCTACAGGGACCCTGTTGATGGCCCCATCCAGCCTTCTCCTGCGCAGCCACTGTCCCTGCTGCTCCCCCCAGCCCATGTGGTGTCCTCCAGAGTCTGTAGATGATGTGCCTGTTGGGGACGATGGGGTGCTGGACCTCTGTAAGACAGACACAATTTAGCCTTCAGAAGCAGGTGCCCACAGAGAAAAGCTGGCCACCTTGAAGGCCAGCTCAGCAAACTAGTCAGAATCTCCCTACACATGTCACCCAGCCAGGGGCACAGGGATCCTGGATTTCACTTTATTGGCTACTTGATATTGGATTTAGGTTCCCATGCTCTGTTTTGGTAGCTTAGCTCTTCCCAGGTCCTAAGTAGCATAACACCAGGGGACCCTGAGCTCACAGGACAGAGGCCAAACAGATCCAGGTGTGGTTCTGCCATCAGGCTGTCATAGCTAAGCTCAAGAGCAGCTGTGACAGCACCTGGGTTGAGGCTGCCTGTGCCCCTATTGCTAGCATGACCCATTGATCTACATGCTGGGGACATAATGTTTCCGAGAGAGCTGTCTGCTGCCACTCACTCAGTGAAGACACAAAACCCCTGAGAGTCCTTGTTGCTTGTGATGAGTGCTCAGGGGGCAGCTGTCACCTAGAAGGCCACTCCCTCAGAAGTCACAGCCAGGCATGCAAAGTCTATTTAAGGGAAGCAAGCCACAAGAGTACTTGGAGAGGTGGTCTCAGAGAAGATGAGCTGGGTGGGAAGGAGAGACAACCTGTGGTGGGGGTCAAATGCCCAAGGGCCTGATTTACTTCAGCAGTGCCACAGAGAAGTGACCATCACCTCCCCATAGGACGAATACCACAGAGAATGCCATATATATATATGAAGGATCAGGAAGCAAAGACAGAAAGTCAATTAGGAATCCTTGCTTAGCAATCCTTGGGTTTTGGGTCTCTACCTCTGCTTTTCAATCCTCATTTCTGCTGTCCTGCTCTTGGTCCTAAGTTTTCTTCTAAGGGGGCCTTCAGCTTGGACCTGCAGATCGGGGTTAGAGGGTGACATCTTTCTGTGCACTCCACAAGGAAATTGCTAGAGGGCTGCTGACCACTGGGGACAGGTTGGGGCAACTTCCAACAGGCAGAGATCAGGTGTGGAAGTTCCCACTGACATGGCTTGGAGAGATTCCTCAGGTTGGAACAAGCTAATGTACATCTTTGCATACGTTTTTGTTTGGACTGTTTGGCACTTTTGTTTCTCAACGTGCAACATCAAATTTAAAGGTTTAAAAATAAAAACCAAATATTAAGCATATCAGCAGGGCAGGAGGTGGGATTCTTCTCTTAGAACTCATTTTGACTTCAACAGATCTTATTTTGAAAAGGCAGTTAGTTAGGCTGGGTTATTCTGCTGGGCTCATTACTGCCATTTAAATAAGGCAACAATTAGCTACAAATAAAAGTAATTACAGCCACACTCATCAATGACTCAGCTGATTTTCTCCTTCTGGTTTTGGGAGGCAGATTCAGACTCGCCTCTGCAATTAGAACATTTCCTGGGCCTCCACTTGAGCTAGCTCCACATGCTCAGCTGGGGCAGGAGAGTAGAAAGTGCTAGCTAGCCTGGGGGCAGCAGCTCAACACTCAATAAAAAAGGCAGGGGGCTGGGATGTGGGTCAGTGGTGGAGGGCCTGCCTAGCATGCTCAGGTCCTTAAGTTCTGTCCTCAGCACTGCTAAACAAATAAGCAACAGCCATAGAACCAGAGTTTTGAAGACTCAAGAAACCCCTGGGAGCTGGCAAGGTGAGCACACCTCACCACACTGTATTGAGGAGTTCCACAAGCCAAGATCTGAGAGTATGAGATGGAAAACAAAGTTCAGTTCAAGAATATATAAACTTGTCTAGAATTTTCTCAAACTTATAGTTGAAGGCACTGTCACCATTATAGTTGAAAGCCCTTAACCCAGGGGTTCTCAAGCTTCCTAATGCTGTGACGCTTTAATACACTTCCTCATGTTGTGGTGACCCCCAACCATAAAATCATTTTTGTTGCTACTGTTATGAATTGTAATGTAAAGATCTGGTATGCAGGATACCTCCTGACATGTGACTCCTGTGAAAGGACAGTTTGAACCCCCAAAGGGTTTGTGACACACAGGTTGAGAACCACTGCCTTAACCCTTACTCAAACTGTCAGAAGTCAGGGATGAGGGCTATGGCGAAGCTCAGTGCTTAAATGTTTGCTTGGAATGTGTGAGGTCCTCAGTTCCACATCCAAAACTGAATGTGAATTTGTGACACACATGCACACACCCTAAATATAAGTGGGGATGAAGTGGGAGCATGGGTAAGGCCACAAGAGAACTTGGCCAGTACAGACATGGAGGAGGAGACAGGGAGGGGTGCCATGCCAACACAGATTTACCGCAGACTTGAAGGAATGCAAACTGTTGGACACAGCCTGGCCCACAGGAAAGAACTACAAAACAAAAAGAATAGACTCAGTCACGTGCAGTAACACCAAGAGATAGCAATAGTTGTGAAGGAACACAGAGCAGCAAGAAAAGCACAGAGACCAAAGGCAGAGGCAAAGCCTAGAGAGGTTGTCATTGAGCAACGGTGACAGATGCAGACTCACTGCTCCCGTGCAGCCCGGCTTGGCTTTAAATAGCAAGTGTTACCAGGTTCTTTTCCTTTATGGAGCAGGCCTAATCAAACTAGGACACATGTTCCAAAGTCACAGCCATGCCACACTAACGCTTTATGCTGCATTGTGAACATCCACAGAGGTCAAAATACCCCTAACTGCCACTAACACCTGGCATCTAACAGGTATCCCACAGATTTTTGTTAAATGTATAAGGGGAGCAAGCTGATGACCTTTCACCATATATATCTTTCCTCATCTAAGAGGAATTAGTTTGCATACTGGTCTGCATCTGTGGTATGCCTGCAAAATTGAGTAGCTACAACACCGTGACACCTGTTAAATTTTGACCAGAGAACATTTTCTTGACATGAGTAGCCAAATACAAAATGTACTGGCTGGCTGACTATAAGCACAACAGAGAAGGAGGGTAATCATTTCATCCCCTCACAGGCAAGGGCAGCACTAAATGGAAGAAGCCATCCATACTCACCCATGATCAGCCTTCAGAGCTGTGGGTAACCAGAGGGACGGTGCCACCGAGTGGCTGAGAAAGGAAGATGTTTGGAAAATCACTTCCTTAGAAGGAGCATAAATGAGACTCTGAGAAAACACGAAATCTGTGCTATGTGCCATCATACACTTCCTTTCTCCTGGTCCCAGAGACATCAAATCATTAGAAATAAGACTCCAAAGGCAGATGTGCTAGTGTGCACCTGTAGTCCCACCTACTCAAGAAGCTGAGGCATGGGGATCCCGAGCCTGGGAGTTTGGGGACAGCCAGGGTTGCATGGAGATCCCCATCTCAAAAATAAATACATAAATGAAAAATGCCCATTTTTTCTAAAGGGGAGGATTATATCACAGGGTGACGCACATGGTGTCCTGACACTGTTTTCTTCCAGGACTAAATCCCCCCAGGTTGGATAAAAGCAGGAAGTAACAGCACCGCCTTATTCTTTCTCTTGTGATTACTAACCACATTCTGCACTTCTTTTCCCAGGAAATTAGTTTTTATTAGTTCAAATTAGAAACAAGCCTGCTTCACATGGCAATCCCTGCTCCCCCCGCCACCCCATCCCTTCTCTGCTCCCCAGGGAGGGTAAGGCCCATCATGGGGGATCCCCAAAGTCTGTCATATCATCTTGGCAGGGCCTAGGCCCTCCACCATGTGTCAAGGCTGAGAGAGCATCCCTCCACATGGGATGGGCTCCCAAAGTCCTTTCTTACTCCAGGGAAAAATACTGACCTACCAGAGGCCCCATAGAGTGCTGAAGCCTCCTTACTGACATCCACATTCAGGGGTTTGGATCAGTCCCATGCTGGCCTCCCAGACATTGGTCCATGGACTCCCCCTTGTTCAGGTCACCCTAAATGCCCTTCCCCTATAATAAGACTGATGACTACCTTATATGCCATCCTAGAGCCTTCATCCAGTAGCTGATGGAAGTAGAAGCAGACATCCACAGCTAAACACTGAACTGAATTCTGGAACCCAGTTGCAGAGAGGGAGGAGTGATGAGCAAAGGGATCAAGACCGGGCTGGTGAAACCCACATTCCGTACTTTTAGCTCCCTCTTTTTGAACAGAAATGCTGGTGGAAGTAGAGCCTGGATCATCTCTTTCACAAAGAATCTTTACAAAGGCCAAGTGTGATAAATGGAATTTCTTTAATCAGTATCATGCTCTAACAAAATGAGCTACCCTAAATGATGGCTCTAACTGGCCACCCTTAATGGATTTTTTTTAAAGGTACAGGGCAAGGTCATCTCTCCTGCCTTCTCATGCTGCTCTCTGTCTCTGGGGTTGGCCTGCATGAGCTACTGTGCCATTTCACCATGCACCCACACCCACACTCTGTATTCGCAGCTTCACTTTCCATGCTCAAGCCAGACAGAGCATGCAGAGAAGGACACACAAAACAAGGCACTTCACCTGCTCATCAGCACTAGCTCGCCTAGTCATCTGAAAGTAAAAAACATCAGGAAGTAAAAGCCTGCTTCCTTCGCCTTCTGATAAACCAGGCCATGATGGTCTGGGGCTGGCCTTTATTGCCTCACAGGCCAGTGAGGCAGTGTGACTTAGTGGATGAGCAGATTTCCTCAGGTGGGTCATGGCCCTGTCCTGGTACAGGAACAGGCACATGAGGACTGATAAGGGGTTGAGCTTCAGGCCTGTGAGGGTCAGCTCCAAAAGACTTCTACTGTGAGTTCGATTAAGGTGAACAAAGAAAACACAACTGTGGATGGTGGGAAATACAGGTATCACGATTATTCCAGTCTATTTCCACATCCTCTTGGCTATTTAAGATGAAGAACAAATTTGACAGAGAAATGGCTGTCTCTTTTGACATGATTCCACTTTTAAAAAGTTTATTTTTATTCTATGGTATAAGTGTTTGCCTATATTATTATATGTGTACCATTTATGTGCCTGGTGCCTGCAGAGGCCAGAGGAGGGCATCGGATCCCCTTGAAGTGGAGTCACAGACAGCTTAGCTAAAAGCTGTCATTTTGACGCTGGGAACTGAACCCAGTCCTCTCTAAGAGCAGCCAGTGCTTTTAACTTGTGATCCATCTCTCCATCCCTATGCCACTACAAAAATAAACATGGACAACAGATTATTCTAGGATGTACATGTAGCATCACATAAAGGCTAGACATTGGAGGGAGTGAGTGCATGTCAATGGCTTTGGGGTTCTTACCTGGGATATAGGGTTATGTTCAGATCCCAAAACTTCTACAGAGAGCAGGCCAAAGCTTCATGCCCTTGACTTTCTGAGACTTTCGGAGGTGAACCCTGGCACCTCCCTTATGCCTGCCATGCTAAGGCCTTCTTACCTGTTTCATCTCACTCCTCAGTCTGGTGATACCACTCCTCTCAGTTTTGGTGACTCCAGTATGACCCACCTCATGGATGGAGATGGCAGGGCTGGATGTAGAAGAGTGAATTGGGCGCACTGAAAGGGAAACACACATGAGGTTTGTAGGGAATCTACTGCACCTGCCTTGAGAGACACACTGTGGATAACATGCTTCTGAGGTCTGTACCTCTTCCCTACTTGACTGTAAACTTAATAAGAGGAAGGCCTTACCTATCCCAGCCAGGCCAGGGAGTACCACATGGGGCCTGATGGGCTGTGTGAAAGTGTGTTGTCTTAGGGTTTGTATTGCTATGGAGACACCATGACCATGGCAACTCTTATAAAGCAAAACATTTAATTGAGGTGGCTCCCTTGCAGTGTCAAAGGTTCAGTCCATCATCATCATGGTAGGGAGAATGGTGGCATGCAGGCAGATGTGGTACTGGCTACATCTTGATCAGAAGACAACAGGAAGTAGCTGTGACACTGAGACAGAGACCACAAAGCCTGCCCCCACAGTGACACACTTCCTTCAATAAGGCCACACCTTTCAATAGTGCCACTGCCTATGAGCTTATGGGGGCCAATTACATTCAAACTACCATATGTGGGTGCTGCTTAAGCAGCAGGCACAGAACAGAGTGGCAGAAAACTATTGGATGATTGAATTAGTTTTGAAAACTATTTTTTACTTATCCAAAACACATTTTCTTTGTGGAAAACTGAGACCACCTAAGGAAGCCAGAAGTAACATCTGTTCACATTTCACTCATTATCCTGCCAGTTTCCCCCTATGGATACATGTTTTTACCTTATCCAACATCACATAAACGTAGAAAGATGTGCTTTATACTACACACATGATATATCCATGCATAATATGTAAACAAGTTTAGTTGTTTCTGCCCTTATTTTGTGTTTCTCTACAGCTTTGCACATTCTCTCACATGTCTAATGACTGCATGACTTTGACCTTAGAATGAGTCACAACCCAATTCTGTTTGTGATTTTCTAAAGGGTTCACCTTGACTAATGTGTAGGATCCACACTGACCTTGCCAAGCTCTGTAATTCCAACTGTCCCTGCTAAAATGATAAAACTGCTGCATACTGAACTGAAGGACTTAGAACTTGGGTTCCTGTGGCTGTAGGCCAGCTGCTGAGGTATCCTCACCAGGCCTTGTCTGGGAATCGAAGCAGGTACACATGTGTAGTAGCATCCAGGACTGATAGAACTCAGGGCTGGGAAAAGATCTCAACCCAGACACTTGAGGGAAGTAGGGGTTAAATTGGCTAGAGTTCAGAGGTGAGATGGAAAGTTGCCAAAGGCAGGCATATGGTGCTGCTATGGAACAGGGACAAGGAGGCTCTTCCCAATGCACCAGGCCACGCCTCTTTTCGTCAGATGCCATCAGTCTCAGGACTTAATACCTGTCCCCAGCTCTGCTCTCTCTGTGTGGTCTCTAAGACAATGGTCATGAGGGATTATTCTAAAAGGCAAATGTGACCATATTACTGTTCACTTGGCATCCTCCTGGGTTTAAATTTGTCTTCAGTTTAAAGATAAAGCCCAAACAAACTTTCTGGTGCCACAGGAAACCCTCCTCATGGGGGCCCTATGTGGGCATCTGCACACAATATTCTTCCATTCCACTGTTCCTTTTGTAGTCCCAACACAAAGGTCACTTTCTATAGAACCTTGATGAAGCCAGGAAGATGGAGGGCAGCTGGAGAGAAGAAGCCACCAAAGAGACCCAACAATGGGTCAAGAGGGAGGAGTGGTACCAAAGAAATGGAAAACAGAAGCTCCATTGTGTTTGAGGGAAAGTGTTGGGAATAGTAATTTTAGGATTTAGTCAGAAGTTTAGCTTCTTAGCTTATAAAAACCAAACGGTTGCTGGGTATTGGTGGCGTGTGCCTTTAATCCCAGCACTCGGGAGGCAGAGGCAGGCGGATCGCTCTGAGTTTGAGGCCAGCCTGGTCTACAGAGCGAGTGCCAGGATAGGCTCCAAAGCTACACACAGAAACCCTGTCTCGCAAAACAAAACAAAACAAAACAAAACAAAAACCAATTGGTTATGTGGTAGTTTGAATGTAATTGGCCCCCATAAACTCATAAGAAGTGGCACTATTAGTAGGTGTGGCTTTGTTGGAGGAAGTGTGACACTGTGGGGTCACACTTTGAGATTTCCTACACTTAAGCTTTGCTCAGTGTCTGAGTCCACTTCTTGTTGCCTTCTGATCAAGAATGTAGCCAGCACCATGTCTGCCTGATTGCTGCCATGCTCCCCGCCATGATTATAATGGACTGTACCTCTGAACTGTAAGCCACCACCCAAATTAAATGCTTTCCTTTATAAGAGTTGCCATGGCCATGGTGTCTCTTCACAGCAATAGAAACCCTAAGACAAGTTATAAGACAGTGAAGAAATGCTTTGTTTGAAAAAGATAACATATCTTCTGTCCTTACTTATGATTAGAAATGTCATGGCATTCAAATGACATTCCTCAGTTCTTGGTTTTGTAAGCATCTAATATAGCTTTACATTCAATGACAATTATCTGTCAAACCATGTACACTATTATGATGAGCAGAACACATTAAATATTTATCTTCTGCATTTACATTTCAAGGATTGTGTACTTGAAATAACTGTAAATTACTTTTGGGTATGGATCTCTGGCATTCTTCCTCAGAAAGGAGAAACCCACAAATAGACAGCTGATTGCCCCATGCAGCTTTGTCTGAGGCTGGCATACACTCAGGAAAAATACAAAGTACCCAGTGTCCTTCTTATTAAATAAAAGGAATGATAGCCCACAGTGTGTTTCTTTGGCTTGGTGAAATAAATTCACCGATGTGTCTGTGAATCATTTAGCTTTTTTATGAGGAAGAGAAACGATAATTGCTTCAATTATAATTAGGGAACATTTGGGAACAAGAATCACACCAGGACTTGGGTGATTAGATTTCTTAGCACTGCAAGCAGATTTCCAAGATGGATAAAAACTAAATGAGTAATGCTGGGATGAAGCAAATGAACTGGCCCCCACAGGTCATACAGCATTTCCTCCTACTCTCCAGAAGGTGACAAAGGACCTGGATATAAAAGCTTTGACACAAACCAAAGGCCAGACTACAAGGAGTGGTTTGTAGTGGTAGACCTGTGATTCTCTCCTCATGACACTTATGGCTACAGGAGATGCAAGGGACAAAGGTGTGCAGTTCACTCAGCCCACATACCACTATAACCCACAAAGAAATACAACCCTTTGAGGTGTTCCCATGTCCCAGTTCATCCCCCTGAAAAAGGAAATGCACAATCCCTTCCTTATGGGGAACTGTTGACACTGGTGTTGATCTGCACATGGGTTCCCCATGAAGCCCTCACAGCACCAACTCACCGCTTCTCTCCACACCAAACTCCTTCCCACTCAGAATATGATGCAGGAGGTTCTTCATGTCGAAGGGGCTGAGGTTCATCAGACTCTCCGAAGCTTCTTCTCCTGCAAGCAAACATCTTATCAAGAGGCCCAGACATGGGCTGGTAGTGGGTGCTTCAGGGTGGGAGAGTATGAAATAGAAGGCAGTGGCAGGTCCCCTTGCTCAGGACTCCTTCGCTGGTACTGCAGGCCAGAAAAACATTGGTCCTTGGGAAAGCAAACACCTCTGTTTAGGCCAATACAGATACATTTAATTCCTAGACATAGAATTTTTTGCATTGCACTGATCCCTGATGTTGGGATGTGTTTTGCAAATGACTTTTATATTTATTTCTCTCAGTGAAGGTGTTATTAAGTGGGGGGAGACATCTTACAGTGAGGCTATCACTGTGACTTAGCTGTCGGGTGCAGCAAAGGTTCTCATGGAAACGTAGCTGCTGCCTTGCCAGCCCCAGTGAGGTATGCTGTTGTGCTATATGGCCTGACAGCAAGCACCTCTCACAAAGGAACCTGGGAGAGCCTAAGCTCACTCAGAGTGGAAGCCTGTTCAGAAATGCTTGAGCATGGCTCCCTGCACAGCAAGGCCTTGAGCTAGGGCTGGGCTGGCAGGGGTAGAAAGCCATGGTCACTTACCTGAGCAGTTCAGGCTCCGTGCCAACTCTGTAGCCATCACCTGGATGATCAATCCAATCCGGAGTCTGAGCATCTCTGCAAAGAGGCTAGGCTGGGCCCGGACATACATGGCCAGGTAAACCACGATCTCCTGGTGCAGATGGGAACAGGGCTTCAGGGAACCTGAGAGGCCGACTGACACTCTGAGGAAGCTGTGGCCTAGCTGGCCCTTCCTGTATCAGCATCTGACCTGTGTGAGAACAGCAATGCTGATGTCCTGTCCACTGGCCTCGTAGATGAGTTTTGTGAGCTCCTCTGGGGGAAGAGGCCTAGGAAAGAGCAGCAGGTTACACACAACGGGGGCCTCAGAGCTGGCCCTCCTTGCTCTCAGTGTAAGTTCCCTGTTTTCTATACAAGCGCCCATGTGACAGAGTATCTTTCAAAAGCCACTGCCACCCTTCGCCAATAGTGCAATGCTCTCTTGGTGCTCCTCTATAGACTGGAAGTCCTCCAGCAGGGACTTACGTGGAGATGGTCTTCTCCCGGGGCTCAGGGGGCAGGCCCACTGTAAGCTGCTTCTGGTGGGACAGCAGATCTGCACAGGCCTGCATATTTTTTGAAGGGTGGGGAAGGGAAGGTGTACAAAAGAATACAAATGAAGCAAAACTAACTGAGAAGGTTAAGTGCCAATAGCACCAGAAATTGACCTTTATGAACTTCATAATCCACACTGGCCTTCTGAGAAATTCAAACCTAAAACCTAGGCTTAGTAACCCACATAGGCTGGATTCCTGTAATCTTTGGATCTCTCAGGTATGGCCCCGGTCTGGTCCATCTACTACAGTAAACACCCCAGGCTTCCTGTTATTCTAAACAAGGTAGGAATGAGGTTCCAGATAGCAAAGATTAGAGTTACCAGCCACACTGTGCTCCTAGCTTATGAGCTCGTCTGTATTCACATGTAACGATGACTAGCAGCTTACTAGAATACTTGCTTAAAGCCACAGAAAATGGTTCTGGATTTTGTAGAGTCTCAGGGACATAAACATTAATGATTACTGTACTGTGACATGTGGAAATAAGTACTTTGTGTCATGTGATTGTTTGGTAAGGCTTTCTGTGGTTAAGAAAGAATCAAACTAATCAATTTGAAAATGTCTTCCTTTCTCCTCTCCTTTCAGAGCAGTGAAGTCAGCAGAGGGCCTTCCCAGTGCTGGGGTTGGTTCCCTTAGTCCCTTTATTGATAAGAGGCACTTGCCTTGAGCTTCCACAACTAGAAGACTGGTAGAAGAAAGCATGGGGCTAGAGAGAAAAAAAGGAAAACCCGGTAGGCATGCTTATTCTGACCTCAGCCAGGACCTCCACTTTCTTCCTGAGCAGGCCTGAAATGTAGCGGATCAAACTCCATTCTTGGTTCAGGCCAGCCTTTCCATAGAGCTCACTGAGAAGACTGTGAACAGTGACTCCGTGCTGTCCAAACAGATTGGTATCCCAGCTGGGACCCCTGGAAGGAGGCAGAAAAATACAAAGATAAAGGTCAGAATGTCAAGGTTGGGTGAAGCATGGACTGCTGTACATTTTGCCAAGTATTTGGACATTTCTAGTAACTCTGGGTCTCACCAAGAGGGTTCACTCCAAGCAAACATTTCTTTTTTTCTTTTTTTAAAATTTTTATTTAAATTAAAAACATTCTTATTTTACATACCAATCCCAGTTCCCTCTCCCTCCCGTCCTCCCAACATCTCCCCATCCCACCCCCCATCCACTCCTCAGAGAGGGTGAGGCCTCCCATCGGGGATCATCAAAGTCTGTCACATCATTTGGGGGAGGGCCTTGGCCCATGTACCTAGGCTGAGAGAGTATCCCTTCATAGAGAATGGGCTCCCAAAGCCCATTTGTGCTCTAGGGAAAAATACTGGTTCCACTGCCAGAAACCTCATAGACTGCTCAAGCCTCCCAACTGACACCCACATTCAGGGGGCCTGGTTTGGTCTTATGCAGATTCCCCAGCTGTCAGACTGGAGTCCCTGAGCTCCCCCTTGCTCAGGTCAGCTGTTTCTGTGGGTTTCCCCAGCATGCTCTTGACCCCTTTGCTCATCACTCCTCCCTCTCTACTTCACTGACCTTGAGAGAACAATACTCAACTTTATATGGAAAAACAAAAGACCCAGGATAGCAAAAAAAAAAAAAAAAAAACCTGTACAATAAAGGAACATCTGGAGGCATCACCATCCCTGACTTCAAGCTCTATTACAGAGCTATAGTCCTGAAAACAACTTGGTATTGGCACAAAAGTAGACAGGTAGACCAATGGAATCGAATTGAAAACCCTGATATTAACCCACACACCTATGAACACCTGATTTTTGACAAAGAAGCTAAAACCATATAATGGAAAAAAGAAAGCATCTTCAAGAAATGGTGCTGGCGTAACTGGATGCTGACATGTAGAAGATTATAGATAGATCCATATCTATTGCCATGCACAAAACTGAAGTCCAAATGGATCAAAGAACTCAACATAAATCCAGCCACACTGAACCTCTTAGAAGAGAAAGTGGGAAGTACCCTTGAATGTACTGGCACAGGAGACCGCTTCCTGAAAATAACACCAGTAGCACAGACAATGAGATCAACAATTAATAAATGGGACCTCCTGAAACTGAGAAGCTTCTGTAAGGCAAAGGACACAGTCAACAAGCAAACATTTCTATACCATGTTTCTGAAACAAAAGCCTAGTGTTCATACATCATTATGGTATCCTGGCCTTATCCAGACTTCTGGAAGGCCAGCATTAAAAAACAGAGAAAGGGAGAGAAGTCTCATGTGTGGTGATCCTGGGTAATTTGGCATTGCAGAAATGCCAATAGAGCAGGAAAATGAACTATGGAGAACTAAGTTCAACATAGCCCATAAACTAACTGCTATGTCTTGAATGCTTGTGTCCCCCTCAAGTTCCTATACTACAATCCTAACCCAAGAGTTATTGTATTGGGATGTAGAGCTTTTGGAAAGTCACTAGGTAATGAAGTAAGATCCTTCATAATCCATCAGTTATGAGAGGCCCCAGAGAGCTTGTGTCTCTCTTCCACCATGTGAGGATAGGGTGAAAAGCCACCATCCATGAGGAAGTAGGCTGTCAGCAGACACTATATCTTGGACTTCCAGCTTCTGGAACTGTGAGATACACTTTTGTTCTTTATGATGGCAGCTGATGGTATATTGCTATAGCAGCCCAAAAAGATGAAGGCACTTACTTTATTACATAAAGAATGTAAAGAATGTCTGCTTGGTCCTGTAGGTTTGAGCAGTCTTTCAGTTTTCCAACTAGCTTCTCGCAGTCCATTTCACCATGGTCATCTCTGGGCCAATGGTAGTCATATTCAGGAGTCTGGCCAAACAAAAGCCCAAAAAGTAGGGAAAGGAGTTGAGAATTGGAAATTTTTAGATGACCATAAAGTGAAATACCACCTTTTTTTGAACGCTAACACTCTGCTAGGCTTCATATTTTTCAGGAAATCTTTTGTACCATGTTATTTATGGGCCTTTACTATCTTCAATAGTGATCTGTGTTGGTCAACATTTGCAAGGGCCTAGACTCAACAGGTTAAAATGTATGTAAGTTTTATTTATTCAAAGTTTAAAAATAGACAAAACCAACTTCTACTGTTACAGACCATGACAGCTGTGCCTCTCCCCATCACATATTGGGAATGGAAACCAGGATCTTGCAAGACAAATAGTCTACCACTGAGTCACACTCCCATGCCCCAGCAGTTAGTTATCTTTGGACTATGGGATGGAGGTAACTAGGAGGAGACACAGAAAGTGGCCAATGACAAGTGCATATTGAATTAGTAGCAAGTTATTGCACTCTACTCATGAGTGCACTTTACTGTCTATATGTTATGCTTTAATAAAATATTTGTTCGTTTTCTTGAATAAAGTCTCATCATGTAGTCCAGGCTTCCCTAGAACTTGCAATGTAATGCAAGTTGACTGAAAAATTGCTATCTTCTGCCTCTGCCTACAAGTGTTGGAATTACAATCATGTGCTATCACAACATAAAGGGCATGTTTAAAACTACCTAAAAAATGGAGTTAGACTAAAATATTTTCCAATAGGCATTAAATATTTTAATTCATATGGAATAAAATCAGGAAAGCTGTCTGAACAAAACACTAAAAAGAAGGACCAACATTGTGAGATTTTGTGCTTTTGAAGAATCTCATTCCATTAAGAGTATGAAGAAGCCAGGCATGGTGCATGTTCATAATAAGTACTTGGCAGGCCAATGCAGGAGGATTGTGAATTCAAGGCCAGCCTAGGCCAAAAACTGAGACCCTGTCTTAAAAAACCAAACCAAAGAGTGTAAGTACTGAAGTCATAAAGCCCCATGCTCTGTTCTGAGCTCTGGCTGGCTCAGATGAGGTAGGGAAGGTAGTTAAGTATATTTCTTCTATTATTGCCTGTTCTTATGAGCAGGCAGAGGGGCAGTACGAGGCCTTTTCCTCCAGGCAAAACACAAAGGCATGCACCAAACTCAGAGCATGCAATGATGCAAACTGCATTCTAGACACTAAGTGCCTGGATTCACAGCAACACATAGTGTGTGTCAACTGGGAAACCCTGGGTATAAAGAAATATGCCCTTTATGTGCCAGCATTTGAGATAGCTCTTGGGACTCACCCAGTATTATCAAGTATTACAATAAAAAAAACTATTCCAAATACTTTACCTTCTTTAGGAGTGTCTGAGAGGAGTCAACAAGATTCAGTGACTTACGATGTCCACTTAGAACTTTAGTTGGCAAAACCATTGGAAAAACTGGAAAAGAAAATAATGAAGAAAGCTCTTGGGAGGAAGAACAATGACAAAGCCCTTCTTTTGGTAAGTACAGGGCATGTTAGGACAACAAACAGATTTAAAAGAGGTGACGCTTGACTTCACTCCTCTCCCTTTTTTTAAGGGCTTATGCCACCTCACCTGGCTAGCTTCCATTTATTCATTTATTTATTTATTTAGTATATGGGTACTCTATCTGCAAAGTATGACTTTATGCCAGAAAAGGGCACCAGATCTCATTACAGAGGGTTGTGTGGTTATTGGGGATTGAACTCAGAACCTCTGGAAGAGCAGCCAGTGCTCTTAACTGCTGAACCATCTCACCAGCCCCACACTCCTCTCTTTCATTTTCCAGATGGGGAAACTGAGGCCTAGAGAAGATAGAACATTTGTCCAAGATCACAGGGTTTCATGATCGAAGTGTCTGGGTTTCCTTCTCAGTTTCACTCTAGGATTGTTGGCTGTTCTGGATTTGACTTTTTATCATCTCTGGATGCTTACCTGTAGTCATTCAGCATGATGTCTCTGTCCTATACCACTACACAGAAAACTAAAGAGTAACATACATACATATATATATATATATATATATATATATATATTATTTATTTATATATTATGCATATAACATTCTGCTTCCATGTATATCTGCACACCAGAAGAGGGCACCAGATCTCATAACGGATGGTTGTGAGCCACCATGTGGTTGCTGGGGATTGAACTCAGGACCTCAGGAAGAGCAGTCGGTGCTCTTAACCTCTGAGCCATCTCTCCAGCCCCTAATATATATTTTATGTGTGTGTACATACATGAGGAAGCCAGGGCTTTGTCAGGTGTCTTCCTCTCTTTCCACATTAGTTTTTTAGGTCGGGTCTGTTCCCTGAACCTGTAGTTCACTCACTCAGCTCCAGGGATTTGCCTCCCCCCAACTCCCCACTCCCACCACCACAGATGCAGTGCTGGAGTTACAGATGTGCATTGCTATGCCTGGATTTTACATGGGTGTTGAACATATGAAATCAGATCCTCATGCTTGTTCAGCAAGTCCTTTACCCAGTGACCATCTTTCTAGCTACCTCACTAATGCATTTAAAAGGGATTCATAAAGCAAACTAAAGTGGTTCACATCTGTAATTCTGCCACTCTGCAGGAGGACTATAAGTTCAAAGTCAGCTTGAACTACATAGCTGAGTTCATGGCCAGCCTGTACAACACAACAAAAAACCAAACCAAACCAAAATAAAACAAAAACCAAGCCAAAACAACAACTAAACAAACAAACAAAAAAAAACCCCACCTAACTAAAACCAAACAAAAGAGACAAATCCTCAAGAACAGGTTAAAAATAGGGAAAATGATAATAGCAGCATTTTCAGGAATAGGAAAGACAAAGGTTGAAAGATAAGAGATTTAGAAAACACAGTTCTTGCATATATATTAGGGTGATGGAGGCTTGGTGTTTTTGTAGGACTCCCAACAATAGAAGTAGGGGGCTGTCTCTGATTCTTTTCTGGCTTTTGGGACCCTTTTCCCCCTACTGGGTTTCCTCATCCAGCTTTGATATGAGGATATGTGTGTAGTCTTATTGTCACTTATTTTGCCATGTTCAGTTGATATCCCTAGGAGGCCTGCCCTTTTCTGAAGGGAAATGGAGTAGATCTGGGGGAGAGGGGAGATGGGGAGCCTGGGAGGAAGTGGAGAGAGGGGAAATTGGAGTTGGTATGTAACATGAGAGAAGAATAAATAAAAATTTTAAAAAGGGAAAAAGAAAACACAGGCTCAGCAAATTCCAAGAATACAATGGGGAAATCAATGAACCAGTCAGACAGACCTGCCTTAAGAAAATCCTCAGATGTCTCAGGAATTTGCTGTCCTAAGTACTTCTGGAACTTGTATGGAGCCCAAGGGAATAAAAATAAAGAAGAATGAAGAGACAGTGTGTGAGATGTAGTGAGCTCACTATATGTTCTGCTTTTCTGCACATAGCATGGTGCCTGCCTCTTTCAGGAGGACAGAAGACTAGAGGACTCTCCAAAGAGAGGGAAAGAGGGAGGATAGATACCCAGGCACAGATATTTTAATACATCTCAAGGTCATTCCTTAGAGAGACAGACTAGGGATCCAAAAGAATAGTTCTTTACCCTTCCAGCAGGAGAACAGTAGAGTACCTCTGAAGAATCTGGCTGCACCTCACAGGCCTAAGGCCACAAGTTCCACTTGGAGGTCCTCCTGCAGCAGCAGCTGAACACCCTGTATTACTGGAGGAACTCTAAAGTGAGAAGTACAAATCTTTACTAAAAGGAAAACGTAACCTGGAAACGAAAACCATTCAGGGAGAACAAAGTGTAAACATGAAGATAAAAAGCCCCATCTCTAATGTTTTAGAATAATAAGAATTTATTATTACATGTATGGAACAACAGATAGAATTTGGGGAATGAAAATTAAAACATAATTCCAAAAGTGAAAAAAAACTCAAATGAAGGGAGGGACAAAAAATTGAGCTAATTACACTCAAAACAGATAAGAAATATAAAAAACAGAAGAAAAATGATGAAATTTTCTCTAAGCAGTTAACAAAAACTAATGAAAGTACAGGTATAATATGAGAAAGGAAGTCAAAGTTTTTAGAAAAAACTTTACAGGATTGAAAATCATAACTTTTCAGATCAGAAGGCCCAATAAATCCCAATACAATGGATGAAACCATTCCCAGGTCAAGACATACAATTAAAATTTCATAACAGAAGATCTTAAAACTTTTCAAAACCTGCTAATATTTGAAAGATCAAAACATCAATATAGGGACCTCTTTACCTAGCCAGATCTCCCACATCTTTCTCCAGGGTCTAGCCTGATTAGCCTTTCCCTCATCCACCCACCTTTCCCATGCCACCAAACCTAGCTTGGGTCCCATACCCTGTGCCTCAGCCTAACCTGGCCACTGCAGTGAGCACCACCTTTGATACTTAGGTTTCCACCAGGATGAACCTTGCCTACCTCCCAACCCAAAGGCCACTCCCATGTCACAGCCAATCTTTCTACTCAGCTAGATCTACACCCACAGTCCAGGTTTGGACTAAGAAGCACATCCTACATACCAGCCCAGTATATTTTATCCATCTAACTTCATTCCACCCAAGCCATTTCCAACTTCTAAACCCATTTTACCCACACATCCTCTTCTTTCTATCCCAAGCTGTTCTATCTATATCAGACTTAGAACTAACAAAAGAACTCTACAAGCCCAGATCTTCTCTCTCTCTCTCTCTCTCTCTCTCTCTCTCTCTCTCTCTCTGTCTCTCTCTCTCTCTGTGTGTGTGTGTGTGTGAGAGAGAGAGAGAGAGAGAGAGAGAGAGAGAGAGAGAGAGAGAAAGAGAGAGAGAGAGATCAAGCTAGTACCTTCTTTCTCAAGCTTATAAGTCCTGTAGAATTTTTTGCCAATGGGTTTCCTAGATGAACTCCGATACACAGAATTTAAAAGAGCCATAGACTCCATTAAGGAGTTTGAAGAAAATATAAACTTAGCTCAATGAAATTAAAGAGAAAGAGTTGACCAAAGTTAGTCATAGAGGTTTTGGAGGACCAAGGACATTTTTATTGATAAAGATTAATTATATAAACACTTCATATAAAGGAAAATCCATCAGAATTAACAGAGGATTTCTCAACAGAAACTTTGAAAGCCAGATAATCCTGGAGCAATGCATTACAAATCCTATAAGACTATGACAGTCAGTCTGGACTAATATACCCAGTAAAACTATCCACTATAATTGAAGGAGAATGAAAAATTTTCCACAGTATAAATTCCATGAGGTAGAATTAACCTGAATGCCTCCTCTCTGATGACTAGCTTTCATGGTACCAGAAGACACCTTGCAAACTTTTAAAGGAGGAAAGCGATCAACAGCCCTACCCAGCTATGATGTCTATGATCCACATCAATAACTAGCATGGCACAATAACCCTAAGGGCATGTATACCTTGGTGGTAATCTAAAGTTCTCTAATTGGACTTAAGACCCATTCAAAAAGAAGGAAACCATGTCTGATACAGGGAACCTAGAAAATTCTTCAGTGCTAGCAAAGTTATAGATCTTGGAGGAAATCTTACAACCACCTCTTTAGTAAATTGGCATAATCCCTAATGACAATTTAAACATTTGTCCTTGTACTCACAGATAAATGTAGTCCTCACCCTTCATCAAGGAAACTTCTCTTTGCATTAGAAACCATTACAGAAAAGCACTAATGTCAGAAGCTACACCCCTGAAGTCTCACTAACATGACTACCTAAACACGAGATTAACAAAGACAACAGACATGCCAAAGTATGTTGTTTCCACCCAGCTCCCAAATAATTACACACAGAGACTTATTCTTTCTTATAAATAAGAACTGGACTTAGCTTGGCTTGTTTCTAGCCAGCTTTTCTTAACTTAATTATCCCATCTACCCTTTGCCTCTGGGCTTTTGTTTTTCTGTTCTTTACTTCTTACTCTGTGGCTTGCTGTGTAGCTGGGCAGCTGGCCCCTGATGTCTTCCTCTTTCTCCTTTTCTTGCTTTTTGATCTTCTCTTCCTAGATTTCTCCTGGTATTAATTCTCTCTGCCTGCCAGCTCAGCCTGTTTCTCTCTCCTGCCTTGCTCTTGGCCATTCAGCTCTTCATTAGGTGTTTTAGACAGGCAAAAAGTAACACAGATTCACAGAGTTAAACACATGCAACATAAAAGAAAGCAACACATCTTTGCATCATTAAACAAATACTCCACAGCATAAATGAATGTAACACATCTTTAACTAATATTCCACAACAAAATTAGACAGGAGAAAGACCATGAAATCTCAGTCCTACACTTCACACACACACACACACACACACACACACACACACAAAGCTACAGTCAACTAAAGAATGCTGAGAGCTATAGAAATAGTCTTCTTTAGGGAAGAGTATACCAATTGGTTGTCTAATACCAAATGGTCAGCCCTAAAAAAAACATACATACCAGTAACATCATTCAGTTTGAGCAGATTATATCTAGAAATACACACACACACACACACACACAAATATATATATATAAATTATAGAGACAGAAAGATTAGTGATTGCCTGGGAATAGGGAAGGGACTAATTGGAAATGTTAATGGAATTGAGGGTGTTGCTTTCTGGGACAAGTACATACACACATATAACAACAATTAATTAAAAAAGAGGCCATGATTTCAAAGAGAGCAAGGAGGGGTATATAAGAGGGTTTGGAGGGAGGAATGGGAAGGGGAAATGATGTGATTATATTAGAACTTCAAAAATAAATGACTAAAAATGTGCTTTATGTTTAATTATTTGTTTACTTTTCTCTACTTTCAAAATGAACTGTACATAGGCAAGTGAGATGACTGAGTGGGTAAGGGTGCTTATTGCCAAGCCTCATAAGCTGAGCTCCATCCTGGGAACACACGTGACAGAAGGAGAACCAGTTCCTACAAGCTGCCCTCCAACCTCCACGTGTGCCCACACCCACACAAAATAAAAAAAAGTATAACTAAAACAAAATATGACTAATAAAGAACTCATCTAAAAATAATTGTATGCTTAAGGCAAAATTTTGGATAAGTCAAGTGAGAACATATCAGAAAGTGAACATATTACCCAGAGAGAAACGTTTTGTCTATGTTTATGTAACATTTTCTATGGTTCTCCTTTATTTATTTGCAGCCTGCGGATTCCAAATCTGAGGCTGATACTAAGAAAATAACAAGGGACTAAAGAGAGCTTCATGAGTGCAAGTATGAGGACCTGAGTTCCCACACCTACATAAAAAGCTGGACATGGATACATGCAATTGTAATACCAATACTTTGGAGGCAGAGACAGAAAGATCCCTAAGGCTTGCTGGCCAGCCAGCCTAGCCTAATCCAGGCCAGTGAGAGACCCTGTCCCAAAAGCAAAAAGCAAAGTAAATAAAACAAGGTGGCAAGCATCCTTGTTGAGGAACACCCAAGGTTTGACTGTCAGCCTTCACAGACACACACACACACACACACACACACACACACACACACACACACACACACACACACACACACAAACACAAAAAAACACACAAACTAATGCTATGAAGTAATGCTTTTTAAAAAAAATCTGAAGAAAAAAATGTATTTTAATCTAGATACTATACCGTCAAATGGTCAAATGGGTGTAAGGCATTTGCAAGCATTTTCAGACCTGTAAAAGCTCAATGTTACCCACTACTTATTGTTTCTAAGAAGACTACTGGATGTCTTCCACAAAAATTGTGCCAAGAAAGAGAAATAATTGAGGTACAGAAAACAGGAACACTAACTCAGAAAGCAAGTGAAGGGAGCAGGGCTACAGCACAGCTGGCCCAGAAAGGAGATGTTTTGTAGACTCTAAGAAAGACATAGTCTCAAGAGATTCACTAATATAACTCACCTTGTGGAAATTTTATTATGAGGACAGTGGAAGACTTAGAAGAAAAGCAAGCAAAAAGGACATTGCTCATTGTAGGAAAACCATAAAGTAAAACTAGGAAAGTAATCATAGTACACTGTAACATTCAGCTAAGAATACTATCTATCTATCTATCTATCTATCTATCTATCTATCTATCTATCTATCTATCTATAGATAAATATATATAAAGTGTTACAACTGATTTAAATTTTTAGACCTTTGTAGGTTAAGGAACAAAGTAGAGGAGTGGTAATTTATAACATCTAAGTCTTGATCCACACACTGGAACATTATAGATTAAATTGATACTTCAAACGACAGAAGTAAACACATTAGTTTAGAAATATGGAGATATGCAAATGCCAGAAGAAACATCTAGCAAAGCTGAAAGTGGTCACATTTGAAGTTGAAGGTTGGAGGAGGGAGCACATCTTGTCTTTTAGGATTGACTTAAATTATACTAACACATTACTTTGATGAAAGAATGTATCTTAATGAACAGAAGAACTTAATAACATACATGGAGTTTCCAAACCCTTTGCTTTGGCCATCACAGAAAGTATGTCCCGAGTGGAGTGGATAGCACTGAAAACATGGCTGTCTTCCGACTTCTTACAAAGAGGGGGCAGGTAACACTTCAAGGATGTGCTTTGAAGAAGGTGGCTGATATACTGGTCAAGTTCATCTTGGCTTTCTGCAATTGGACAACCAAGGAAAAGTTCAATGAAAACAAGCTGTTGAGTAGACAACATTTAGCAACACATATTTGCACCTCCACTGGCACTAAAAAGATAAAGCTAGTGACAGGTATGTCATATGTGTGTAGAAATTTTATTTGAAAATCTTCATTCTAGGCCAAGGAATTCCAGAATGAGACAGTGTTTAAGTCCCACCATCCCAAGGTAAGCAGTAGAATACAAAGGCAATGTGAAGAACAGCAGTTGGCATCCTGTCTATTAATCTTAGAATAAGCTAAACCTTATAGAGCTTTCTGCACCACTCACAAATGTTATCTAAAAGTAAAAACAGAGCTGGATGTTGGTGGCACATGCCTTTAATCCCAGTACTCGGGAGGCAGAGGCAGGCAGATCCCTGTGAGTTCAAGGCCAGCCTGGTCTGAAGAGTGAGTTCCAGGACAGCCAGGGCTGGTACACAGAGAAACCTTGTCTCATAAAACAAACAAACAAACAAACAGAACAAAACAAAAAACCAAAACAAACAAATAAAAAGTAGAAACAGGTCGCTTTGACCTGAAACCACATTCAGATTAAGACATGTTATATACATGTGGGGTTTCACCAATCAAAACTAGGTCATTCTTCCATTCCTTTCAAGAGTCAAGCAATGTGTTCCCCCTTTAGGAATCTAATTGTAAGGGTCTCGGGGTGCAGCTCATCAGTACAGGCATGCATGAAGCTTCGGGTTCACTCAGGTCAGGATTTAGTTTAAAGAGCTGTGAAAACCCTTTAAGGAGTACCAGGAACAGTTGGTGCAAATGAACTCACAGAGGTCTGAGGGGCAAATGGACCATATTAAAGAAATAAACAAAAAGAGGTCTGGTGAGATGATTCAGTGGTAATGGTGCCTGCTGCCAAGCTTGACAGCCATAGCTCAATCATCAGAATCCACAAGGTGGAGTGAGAGACTCCTTTGACCTCCACATATATGTTATATGTCATGGTATCTCTCTCTCTCTCTCTCTCTCTCTCTCTCTCTCTCTCTCTCTCACACACACACACACACACACACACACACACACCCCACACACACACGGGTGTGTGTGTGTGTGTGTGTGTGTGTGTATGGACAGAGAGACACACAGAGAAAGAGTAAATAAATAAATGGTAATATCAATCTAAGGGGCTGGAGCGATGTCTTGGTGGTTAAGAGCACTAACTGCTCCTCCAGAGAGTTCAATTCCCAACAACCAAATGGTGGCTCACAACCATCTGTAATGAGATCTGGCGCCCTCTTCTGGCGTGCAGCATACATGCAGGTGGAACACTGTATACATAATAAATCTTTAAAAAAAATACCAATTTAGGAATAGTCTTGTACCTGAGACTTTCCTACTGGGCTTATGAAGCCCTGCTTTTGAGAACACCAGTGTAATTTAGGTTCTAAAACCAGCAGTTATTCATTTGAATGAATAGAATCTTTAGAAGCCTTGTTCTTGTTTGTCTGCTTATAGCTTACTTTTCAATTATTTTCTGTATTTGAGTCTTAGACAATTTTGTCACAGTGTCAAGGTTTAAACCAATTCAACCAACAATTCACAGAAGCTTGTCACAAGGTACCTGGATGACTGCTGTCTTCCAGGTATCCTCCCAGGTCTGACTCACTGTCAGGACTAAAGCTCCTATCACTGATGTCATCAAACAACTTCTCATCACAGTCTGGATCCAGGAAGGTCAGGTATGTGTAGAATGAGGTAGTGAGGAACTCTGCCAGGTTTCCTAGTTTTACCCTGTCAAGAAGGTAATGCCTCAGAGTTAAAGTCCTCTCTGTAAGGGAGTCATCAGAATGACCTATCATCCTCACACAGGCCCCAATGAACCCTGCACAGGCCCTATTGTATTGGCCTGAGAAATGCTCCACTGAAAGCTGGCAGCCTGAGTCTTGCTAAAGAGGTCTCAACAACCAAGATACTGGGAGCCCATGGAGTTTCTGCCTACAGAAATGTCAGATATCGAAGTGGAAGACAACAGGACCTCTCTCTGAGCTACCAGCATCAGATCAGAATTTAGTTAATATATGTGAGAACCTAAGAATCCCAAATAGGATTGCTTAGGGAGGAAATCAGAGTATGCAATACAATCACCTTCACAGGTGCCCAAGTTTCAATGGGCAAAAGGCATATGACAGGATGACAGTTGGGGAAGAAAAGCCTGCCCTAAACTGAACAAAAGCCTTCTTGTGGAGAGCCAAGGACCAGTCCCAAGGCTTGTTTTGTTTTGCCCCGGGATTGGGGAGGTGGGCCAAAAAACCAAAAGGCAATGGAAACCTTTTCTCTGATGAAGGTGAAAGGAGTGGGCTTTCTGAGGCTAAATAGAGCTCAAAGGAATCATAGTGCGAGGCTCCAAGTGGAGTCTGTATGGTGAATTCAACTTTTTAACAAAATAAAACAACCTTAAATACAAAGAAGCCCAAATGGGATTCAACCTTAATTATCAAGAACTGAATTGGGGGCTGGAATATTGCTTTGAGGCAGCGAGCATGTAAGCCCTGAGGCCCTGGATTTGATTCCTAGCATTGGAAAACACACTGTTATTAAGTACAACAGGTAGCTAAGGGAACCTTGGCATTCCAATTTGTTGCATGGTTCTCTACCTGGTGCTTTGTAAACAGGAGGTCCTAGGCCTAGGGGTTAGAGGTTGGTTTTAGACCCCCAAAGGGCTTCTATACCTATTTGTCTTATAGCCCTGGTACTCTGAGCTCACAGTTCCTTATCCATAGATGAGACTCTAGTTTGCCACAAAGACAAAATGAAACAATATTTAGGGCACACTGCAAAACTCCTAACTGCACACTATATTCTTTTTACAGTGATCAGGTTTTAATAAAAGAATGTATTTGGTAAGATAGTTCATTATAGGCCTATGATATTTTCTTTTGGTCAGGATGCTACATAGCAGGTGGCAACTTAGTCAAGCTAGAGGCAAACTGCTCCAAAGTGGATGCTGATGGGAGTTGCAATACTAGCCTTGAACATGTAGATAGTACCACACTGGGGACTGTCTTGACTGATAGTCCTACGAGGCCAAGGGCAGCCTGCATGGGAAGTCACTTCTAGGTTACAGTGGGGGCCATAGGAAGCTACACGGGCACAAATGCCAACTTCAGGAGCTGCAAAAAAAAATCACTTGAGGCCAAAGTTAGAAAAACAGTTAGGTTCACCTTGAAGGACACCAGTGAGGTGGAAAAAAGAGCCAATCATCAAAAGATCTTACATTACACAAGTTATCTGCCTAAGACCATGGGGACACAAAAAACACAGGGTGCTGTAGACAGGCAGGTCAGCAGGTTGTTTCTTGCATATGGTGTTTTAGTTCTTCTGCAAGATGGAAAGTTTCTGGAGATCTGTCTCATATGATGGGAGTGTATTTACATACTTAGTTATGATACAAATGGCAAGGAATTTTACATGAAATTGACAAAAGATGCTTTTTCTGTAGCAACAGGTGGGATGATGTAAGAAGGGGTAACTTGACTTCCAAATACTGTCAGCATAGCCTAAGGGACTCCTCTCTCTGCCTGGGGAAGGCCCATGGTCTGGCTGCACAGTAAGACTCCATTGAGGAGTTATCTGACATTCTGAGAGATTCACGGAGATGAAGATATAGAGAAATCCTCTAGCATGGGCCACTCAGAGGGACAAAATGAGAAGGGGATTCCTGTAGAGTTAGCAACTGTATTCATCTAAGGTGCCTAAGAATCACACCCAAGAGAGTCATACTCTAGGAAAACAGACCCAAATAGGTTTCATGCCAGTGAAACTGGTGGGCAGTGACTTATGCAGGACTAATCGGGTGCTTTGTTTCTGGGGCCATTGAGAAGTCTGTCAAATGTGTGAATTATTATTCTTAAGGTGATACCGTACTCAAGTCAGCTTTTATTGAGCACTTGCTGGCCCCTCCCTAGATCACAGTCCAGGAAAGACAACACCTGCTCACTTTTCTATGACAGTGATCTTCTGGTGGCCAGGAAAGTTTAACAAGCAAGAGCCAAATGTTGCTTTAGACCTGATTCAAGTTTTCCAAGGGAGGTGGAATTAGATTTGTTCCCTTCTTACTCTAAAATTCTGCATGTCTCCGTTCAGAAACTGATGCAAATGGTGGGAAAAGGACAGTTAAAAGACTCTCAGAAAGGTCAATGCTATTCTTATTTAATGAAAAGAAATTCCAACTTACCTAGCACCTCCAAAATATCCATCTTCTAGTTTCCTAATTGTAGAAAGAACTGCAGGATGAATGTCTGATCCATCATTGGCTAAGGAAAAAAATGATGAATGAGTTTTCATCACCTAGGAATACAAAGGACTACAAGTGTTCCCACCAGCATAACCCAATCAAACCCCTTATGAAACAAAGATGGCAAACAGCTAAGGATCCCCTTCAGTACTTGGCACTGTCCACGGGGATTGTCCTAAACATTGAGATAAGAGCCCATGACCCAACAGATGGAGTTCATGGAATTACTGAGCATGGTGTGCGTGACAGGAAAGGTGAGTGTGGGGCGGCCGGTCATCCGCCAGCAGGTACACAGATAGGCCAGCTCGATCCTCAGCATCTCCACAATCATCTCATTGTCCAGGGCCAGGTAGAAGTGATGCTGGTCAGTGAACTGAAAGTTAGAACAAGCCAAGTCAAGGGCCACCCTTCACTTATTTCCACATGACACCCATCACCCGAGGTAGCACTGATCCTGAACCTGTTGCCAGGGAAGATGTTTGGTATCGGCCTCAATTCCCTGATGGGGGGGGGGGGCGGCGCACTTTCTCTGAGATGACACATAACAATCTGTCACCTGCCCAGAAGCTGTAGCTACACAAGTACAAAAGGAAAGGTGTGTTGCTAGACTTGCCTTCAGCTCCTCTCAAAGGGGATGTAGGTGTCTTGCTCACCACTGAGAGCAAATCAAGAGTCTGTAACTGATGCCCCCTTTGGGAATCCTGGCCTCACAAACATTTCCCAGGTAAGGGAGAGCTAGGGAGACTGTCCATCTGACCGATGCCTGCTTAAGGCCAATCAGAGGCACTGCACATAATGTTGAAAATCCAACTGTTCTCCTGACCTCTGTGCTAGCATATACTCAGCTCTGCATTTAGAATTTGGGAAGTAGTTTGCAAGGTTTAAAGTGGCAGCTACTGAGGCAAGACCCCACAGTCAACCGCATGTGCAGGCAGGCACGGATCCATGCTGTGCCTGCAAGTGGCAAAGTGACCACACTGTTTGTCTTTCTAGCTACTCAAATGGATAAAAAAATATATGTTTTGGTATGTGCTCCCACTAGGTTAGTTCCCTTTAGGAGCAAAAATTTTGAAGATAAATACCATGGTCAGTGCATTCCGAATCTCAGTAAGGGGCTGAAGACCTGCAAATCAGTCCAGTTGTGTGTCATACTGAGGGTCCTACGACAACTTTCACAAAGGCTAGTGACTATTAAGTTTAGGTGATATGAGCCAAGTGACATGTCACATTGTAAAGCAATGTGAATTTCTTTAATATTCATGTCTGGAGGTGACAACATACTCAATTTGATTCAAGTAACATGAATTGAGCATCTACTATAAGCATTTTCTTTTCTGGAGTCAGACGCGCTACCGTTGTGCCCCGAGGTCTCCTTAAGAATTTTCTTTTCTTCCACCTGATCCCACGCATAGAAAATTCTTCCATGTCTGAAGTAGAAATGCTTACCAGACAGAAAAGAGAACTCAGTAAGAGGATGCTGCCTCATTTCTTACTCCTCCCACTTTTTCCTTCACTTTTGTTGTGGTTCTTTTTGAGATAGGGTCTCACTGTATAGCTCTGCCTAGTCTGGAACTCATATAGACCAGGCTGGCCTTGAACTCATGGAGTTCCACCTGTCTCTGCCTCCTTGGCGCTGAAATTAAAGGCATGTACCACCAAGCCCAGCTGGCCTGTTCTTTTTTACCTGGGGTGTAAAAGTGAAGATCTGGTTCCTAATGACATAGAGTTTAGAGGTACCAAGGACACCAATGTGCCGATATGGTCGACCACTCAACTTCATATTCTTATTTCGTCCTATTTGAAATATAAGGGAGAAACTGGAGTTAGAGAAAATAAAGTAAGAGCTATTCCTAGTGACCTACTAAGGCTGACCTTATTTTTGTGTCAGACAATATACACAGGGTTTTTTTTCCTAATACTATGGCCTTTTGAAAAGTGGGACAAAGCTGAACAGAGAAACAAATCCTACCCCTTTTCTTCATGCATGGACATGAACAATGCCAGTTTGATCTATATAGAGATATAGAGTAGAACTATTAAAAGGAGTTTATTAACACTAACTTTGAACTTACTTAGTAGTCAGCCATAAACTAAACGAACACAGATTCTAAGAAAAGAGAATTGATTCCCACTTTAATGGGTAAAATGAGCATTTTAGGTACCATAGTCATGTATACAATTAGTCATGTATACATATACCATGACTCTTTCAACTGACATTTCAAAGGGAGTTCCTTATTCTCCATCAGATCTACCAAACAGTGGGGCCCTCCTATGGTAGTATGGGCTGGCTGAGCTGAGGGAAATCTGCTTGCCTGCCCATTCTTCTTCACAATGAAGAGGAACAACTGGTTGACCTGCTTAGTGCTCTGCCCAGGTCTTTAGGACTTATAACAAAGTTTTCCTCACACCCAAATCTAGAATCTAGTATGGCCCTCTTTGCCAAATAGACACCAATACTTCTCTGACTTACCAAGTTTGGCATATATGTGACTAAGAATTCGGCCTGGCTGGACTCGAATTGGATGCACATCAGCAATGCTCTGGACATTTACTCCATGTTGCCGAAACAGCCTCTTAATGTGACTGTTTTCTGCCAAAACAGCGACTGCAAATAAGAATAAAGAATCAACATGACATCTACGTCTCATGTATCTGCACATCGACACATGGAACTGATTTTCCCTTCTGTCCAGCACTAGGCAAGTTAGCCCATTCCTTGTGTTTGGCTTGGAAATGGTGGTGTTTGTCTTCCTGCACTCCCTGCTTTTCTCTGTCCTTATTATACCTCAACACACACAATGCATATCTGACAAGTACCTAGATGCAGGACAGTCTGAGAGCTTCTAGAAATGGTCTTCAAGAGGTTCCACGCCAACTTAACATATCTGAAACCAATGTCTTGCCTCCCTCTGGGTCTACATTTATCTAAACATGCCTTGTGTCCTTTCACACAGGGTTAGGAGTAGAAACAGCTACCTTTGTGGAGGTCAGAAAACTGTGCTCTTGCTCCCAAAAGGCAGGGGAAATGAGACTATGGCAGAGTCTGCTTACATGGAATGCTTTAGCTTGGAAGAAAGAGGGAGAGGACATCTTTCCAGAAAAGAAAGTGGGCCTGCTGGTGGAGATATGGGTAGGAGCAGGACTGTCTGGTCCACTTAGAAGCACATCACAAAACCCCAGATGAGAAAGAGCACCTATCCCAGCTGGTGTGAGTCCTTGGCTCTCTGGTGGGCAGGGACCTCCAAGTATCCAGGTCCTGGCAGCCTATGTAGAAATTAGTCTTAGCTTTATGCCACATCAGGGATGGCTGGGTGGTATCTACCATACCAGTACTGCCTGCCTTTATGAGAAAGCAGAATATTGGCAAAAGGATGGAGTCTGGAAGAGGGGGACAGTCACAGGAAGCAGCTGGTATCTTGCCCAACTGCAGCAGAGCGTTTTGGAAACTAGAGGGACCCAGGGCCATGCTCAATCCAGAGAACAAAGGTTAAGCTATGGTTAGGGTGTCTTCCCCAAATCCTACCATTGTATCCATAGGCTGGGTGGCAGGTGCTGAACTTGTGATACGGATAAATGCCACTGAGAGCTGAACATTACCTCCTTACATTTACATACCACCTGATGCTTTTAAAAGGGTTTTTATTACCCATGACCCCATCTTCCCCAGTGAACCCTTAAGAGAAACTATGAGAATGCTTGATTAGTTCATAATAGATGAGCCAGAACTGGAGCCTAATCCCCCCTTCCTCAGGCCTCCAATAAATGAGACTGCTAGTTGCGCAGGACTGGCCATGGGTTTCCCTCAACACTTCTAAAACTATCCCTTTCAAAATGTCCACTGACAAGCAGAATTCCACATGTATCAACGCCACACAGATGCCACTGTCCATTAGACTGCCTCTTTCAGGGCGTGGTTATAAATAAAACTGGGGAGAGCCTCATGATCTGATACAATCACATGAGTTCCCCTCCTCCACTGTGTGTGTATGTCGGGGGGGGGGGGGGGGGATGCATGTGCCACAGCATGTGTGTGAAGGTAAAAGCGAAATGTGCAGGAGTCAATTCTCTTGTTCTAGTATGTAGGCTTCAGGGATTGAACACAGGCTGTTAAGCTTGGTGACAAAGTGCTGTTATCTGTTGAGGTATCTCATTGGATCTGCATGAGTTTCTGAAACAGCTCCTAACCTACTCCATGCTAGATCCCTTGGTAATGCTGCTTTGTTCTACTACATTAAAAATGCTGGGGTGGAAAGATGGCTCAGTAGTTAAGAGCACTCACTGCTCTTCCAGAGGACCCAAGTTTGATTCCCAGCACCCATATCAGGTGGCTCACAACTGCCTGTAACTCCAGCTCCAGAGCACCCAACACCTTCTTCTGGTCTCCTTGGGCACTGCACACATGTGCACAAATACATACTCGAATGCACACACATATATACATAATTAAAAATAAGATCAATAGATTAAAACTGCTGGTTGAGATCTAGTAATATATCCTGTTGGAAAAGAACTCTTGTAGATTTAAGAGACAAATTAGCAGAATATGTGTTGATCGAGTGTGGAGACTAAGGAGTGTAGCTAGATCAGCCTACCTGGAAGTCAATAATAGGTTCCCACCTCCAGCTGTCAGCTGAGATCATTGAGTGAATAAGTTAACCTCTAAGCACCATGGAGACAAGCAATGTTGAAAATGTTACTTACTTAATCAGAATGTTATGGTGGTTAGGTGTACTCTGTATACACTACTGATGAGGTGATAACTTGTAGCTCCTCTCACTGTATTATGGACATGCTCACTAAAGTGGGCCACTGGTCCCAAAGAGGAATGCTTTCTTATTTGTTCAATCATTATTTTCAATGTGTGGTACACAGGTGTCAATCAACACAGAAGAGGATACAAGCCTTATCCTTAAGAAGTACGCAATCTGAGCCAGACGTGGTGGTTCATGCTTATAATCTCAGCACTTGGGAGACTGAGGCAGGAGGATGTCTGTGAGTACAAAGCCAGCTTTGGCTATGTAATGAATTCAAAGTCAGCCTGTTTTACAAAGTAGAACTCTGTTTCAAAGGACCAAAAAACCAATACACAAACAAAGGTATGTAGCTTAATTTGGGGGCAATGTATTGTATACACAGTGGGCTGACATTTGACAGTATCTGAGTGTTCTACAAGGCACTCAAAATGTGTCAGAACTGCCACAGTCCCTCAGTAGAGGAAACAGAAGGGATTGCTGCTCTAGGTGCATGCCATAGGCCATTGAAAGTTTCCTAGGTTGAAAGCTTCCTCCATAGCCATCTCCATCGTTTTCAGGGTTCTATGGAGAAGAGCAAGAACCCTAGCAGCCCTGAGACATGACCTGTTGGGGAACCCTGGGAGAAGGAAGCTCTCTGGGATTCTCACCTTTTTGGAAGAGGAACTGGCTAAAGAGTAAGGGAGGGAGGGTGGAAGCAGGTGGCAAGACCTGAGACCTCCAAGGGACAAATGAACTACTTCCCGTGGGTTCTGAGTTTCCATCAGGCTCAGACTCCACCTTTCAGAGTGACAGTTATGAAGAATGATGCTCAGTGACTCATTCGTGCTCCAGTGATAATCAAGCTTTAGATTCCAGAAAACAACTACCTTGTAGGAAGTAAATTTGTGGGTGGGAAGAATCCCATTGTTTTGGGGGGCTGCCTGAGTTATACAAAGTTTCCTATTGAACAATGAATCACACATGCACATACTCTTTAGACCTTTTTTCCTGTGTCAAGTTCTTATTATGTAGGCTAGACTGGCCTTAAACTCTCTATGAAGCCAAAGGTGACCTTGGCTTCTAGTCCTACTGCTTACTTCCCCAGTGCTGGGATTAAGAGTGCATGCCACCATGCCTCAGTGTATATGATGCTGAAAAATGAGCCCAGGGCCTTGTGCATGCTAGGTAAGCACTTTACCAACTTAGCTACCTCCCCAGCCTAGCTTTGAACTCCTGACCTTCCTGCCTTTGCCTCCCAAGTACTAGTATTACAGGTATGCATTGCTAGAACCCAGCTAAACACCCTTTAATTTTTTTTGAAAAGAAACTAGGGAACAACGTGAATGAAAAGTTAACATTGATTTTATACAATAGAGATGGATAGTAAACATGCTCACAAACCTTGTACTACAACATCAGGTTTGACTGAAGTAGAAAATCTTCTGTTTAAGGGATCAATTTCACCAGGGGCAAGGAATCCCTAAGAAGAGGGGAGCATTATTAACACTATGAAACACTGCTTTAACGAAGAAGATTTCACCTAGCTCTTACCCTTGGAAATGACATATTTGGGGGCTCAAACACTCAAAACCCTTTTCTTCATATTTGTTGAGTCTCTCGTCATAACAGAATATGCTACTCAGAATTTTCCTGATAAATGCATTGCATGCTTGGTGCTTAGCTCTGAGGGTTACTCAAACACACCCCCACATTGTGAGAGTGAAAAGGAAGCTATCGTTAGTACCAGCTGAGTCCCTGAATGTACACTGTCACACTCCTATGTGCCATCACCATTCTACAGGTGGGGAGGCTGAGATGAAAGTGCTTGTAGTGAGACTTTGGTCCAGGACCGAATGCTTTGGAACAGAAAACTCTCCCCACCTGATTACCCATGTTCTTTAAAAAAAATACCTTCTTGCACTTTTCAGAAATAATCCAAGCATCCAAAGGGGATGAAGATGATCTGAGATGGAGTGGACCTACTGCTGGGCCCATAGGAAAACTTTTATATTGAAGAGGAGGTCTCAGAGGAGTGGAGTTAGTTATTCCCCACCTCACACGTTCTGAAATCTGAGCTGGAATGTATTGTACAGACAATGAAACCCAAATTTTCACTTTACAGGTGAGGCAGTTGAGGTTCAGAGAAGTCAAGAGACCTGTCAGAAGTCACTGAGCTGGTTGGATACAGGGTTGACTTTCAAAAGGATATGTGTGCTTTCCTATAAATAAAGGCATGGCCATGGAACTTGGGATATTAAACATACCTGGGAACCACCTCAGCAACCAATGTTCCCAGGTGATGTGTCCACTGTGCTATCTTTCACTGGTCTTTACCACACCAGTAACCCAGTAACACTCTGATGCACTGTCCTCTTGCCCAGTTTTATAGGTGGTGAGGCACACAGGCTGGCCAGCCTCAGGTGGACAGTCCCTTTCTTCTTTAGGCTCCTTACCCATACCAGAATTCTCAGCTGAAGTTTCTCACTCAGCCTGGGAGAGTCATTTTAAAGCTTTTCCAACAGAAGCCTGGGGGCAAGAGGGAATGGGTCAAGAGGTGGGTTGGTGTGGGCTGTGGTATCTGAAGGATGACCTGTGCCTGCTGTCTCATTCTGGGGAAAGATATGAAGAGCCCTTCTACTTCCTGTGTCTTGGGCTGAGAGAGCTTCTAGACTATCTAATAACTTCCTAAACCCTGTCTCTTCTAGAATCAGATATGCTAATCTTGGCTGAAAAGGTTCCCATGTCTGCTGAGCAACAATGCAAACAGATTTTAACTGCATACCAGAGATTCTGGCGAGAGGGAGACAGGGAACATGGCATGTAGGTGATCTGAATTGGTTTATTGTAAATATGAATATGCAAGGTCAGAGAAAGCCTGGGGCCCAAAACAGCCTAGGTGACCTCAAAGGTTATGAAGTTGCACAAGCTATTCACAGTCACTCAGTACAGAGAACCACTGTGCTATTCCCAATTTCCTGTATCTCCTATCAGATAGATGGCTTTCCAGCCAAGAAAGCCTACCTCCGCCAGCAGGGAGCTGAGAATGTACAAGGACTGTCCCCAAAGATGGGGTAGTTTTCCCAGTGGAATTCGGTCTACCGTGTGTGGGTTCTTGTACTCTTCATCCACCTGGCAGGGAAAATGCAAAGTTCAAGATCAGAATGTCAGAGGGCACAAATGCCAGCAATATCTTACATTTGGGGAACATACTGAAGGCACTATGCATTGAGGAAAACCAATAGTGCCGCTACCACTCCCCAGCCCACCTCCTTTAGAAAGTGCAATTTCCCAGAAGCTTTATCTTACTAACATAAGCTTCTGTGTGTGTGTGTGTGTGAGTGTGTTGTTGTTGTTGTTGTTTGTTTGTTTGTTTGGTTGGTTGGTTGGTTGGTTTTTTTGGTCCTAGCATCTGGCAATGCCTGCCAGTTCTGAGGACAGTATCAGCTCTCCTTCTAAACTCCATGTTTCCCTTTAAGGTTTTAGTCATTGGAACATAGTTACTCAAAGGAAACAGGAAACGCTTATCCCTCTATAAGGGAAAAAACTGTATCACAATTGTGTGTGTGTGTGTGGGGGGGGTTCATTCTCAGTATTGTGGATTAATCAGTGATATTATTAATGTAACTATAGAAAGTGACCCAGACACCCCTTACCTTCATCACCATTCACTCTACCCATAGCATACAGATACAAATATAGAATGAAGAAATTTACAGAAGACTCTGTGACATAGAAAACATCCCTGGAGGATTTTGTAAATTAATCTGTATGATGAGGCATGACAAAAGCCTTGTCTTTAATGTATCCCAAGGAAGCTTGGTCATACCACGATGGGAACATGGAGTTGCTGGAAGATCTTACTGGAAGGTCAACTCAAAGGTCTAGGCTGACAAGATTGAGTGGTGTCTGCTCCCTGAGTGGAATCCAGGGCTGTCTTAGATTAAACAAGTTTCAGAGGCTCCCTCAGTATAGTCAGGCTCTTTCCTGTCCTTTGCTCGTGTGTGTGCAGGCCTGATTCAAACACAGATTAGGTATGTTCCAAAGGTCTTAGCTGCTACCTCCCTAAGTCACACATGTTTCTCAAAGCCATAATTCCTTATGATGGATAGGAAAACAAGCCCTTAGAAACCACTTCTGGAGAAAAAGGTCATTTGGCCTAGAAGGTGGGTGGAGAGAGAATACCAAAAAGCCGAGCCCTGACTCACCCAGTCTAGATGAAGAGCACAAGGGGTTTGAAACCATGTGATTACCTTGTCCGGTGGGATGGCATAGAGTTCTGGCACCAAGTGAATCCCATCTTTGCCTCTGATTAATATTCCCTCCAGAGCTTCCCGGTATTCTTGGACCTGGAAAACAGCCCCAGCACAATTAGTGTGACAGAGGTCTGACAGTTAATGATGCATGGCAACACAACTTAGAAAACAATAACAAACTAGGCCTCCTGGCAACAAACAGGGCAAAAAAAGCGCTAAAATGCTTGGCTGTAGAAGACCAGAGAGGGACTCCTGCTGACAGTAAATGTTAGGAGAAGGCGTACACCACTGCTTGTCGCTCCCTGGGTCCAGCCCCACTTGCCAAGTTTCCAAAGAGAGGGAAAGGGCAGCCCCAGAGAAAGTAGCTGTTTGCTCCTCAAACTTTCCATAGTACTGTCATTTATACTATGTACCAGACATCATTCCCATACCCTTCTCATTTAAATAATTTACTCCTAAGTTTTCTGATATACAAAATTTGTTTTACCAAGTTTAAAACATCTTGGTTTAGATATCCTTTATTAGGCAGCATATTCTATTTCTGCCTAAGTGGTAGTTTTCCAATAATTATTTTTTTCTCAAGGTTCTGGGGGAAATGGCTCAAGTTAGCAAAGTGCAAGTGTGAGGAACTAAGTCTGGACCCTCAGAATCTACATAAAAGGCCTAGTGGCACATCTGACAGAGACCAAGTGGATCCTGCTGTATGACATTTTTATTACATTCTGATGCTCCTGAATCTGTCAATAAAGCTTGTTTTGAATCAGAGGGGAGAGCTAGCTACTAGCTGACCAAACTTAACCACAGAGGCTTTGGAGGACTGAGGAGAGAGAGACACAGGAAGTAGTAGGGCTGACTTTTCCTCCCTCACCCCAGACCCTCTAACTGAATCTGGGATTTTCCTATTGCAGCTTCTCTACAACAGCTTTCAGCTGCAGCCCATTCTGGGCCCCAGACTCCACAGGCACCTGGGATCCAAACACCTCCAGCGCCAGCCACCTACTACTGCTGGCTCGGCCTTCAGGATATGTATTACATTGTAGGAAGAGGTTTTGCTTTTCTTTCCACAGGAGAGGAAAAGCTACGGATACTATCAAAATTGATAAAGATTCAATTTGAACAGGAGGGATCTCTTGATTAGAAGAGGCAATAGTTCATCAAGCAGCATGACCATTCAATCTAAACTGACATAAGACTAACAAATGCCTTTTATTTGATCAGATATAACCTGTCAAAAGGGAACCTCTCCAAAGTTAGGGGTGGGAAAGAATTTTGTTTTTGTCTTTCCAGAAGAATAAAGGAATCCAACTAAGGAATCTGAAGAACACCCGACAAATGAGACATCTGAAGAAAACACTCCATTATTTGCTCTATCTTGATACAAATATGCCAAATACAAATGGACTGGACATTGTAAATATAATTCTTATCTGATAATTGGTCTTATTATTTATAATTTTATTATGTTAGAGTTAAAACATTTCTTTTTTATTGAGACAAAAGGGGGACATGTTGTGGAATAATCTTTTTGTACACTGTGAAGATTTGTCACTTGAACTGATTTAATAAAAAGCTGAACAGCCAATAGCTAGGGAGGATTTTGGGGGCAGAGAGTATGCTGTGAACAAGAAGGGCAGAGACAAGAAAAGTTGCCAGCCAGAAATGGAGGAAGCAGGGAAGCAGCATGGGCAGTACAGAGTAAAAGTAATCAAGCCACAAGGCAGAAAGTAAATGAACAGAAATGGGTTAATTTAAATTATAAGAGCTAGTTAGAAACAAGTCTAAGCTATCGGCCAAGCTTTCCTAATTAACAATAAGTCTCTGTATTATGATTTGGGAGCTAGGAAAAGGGACAGAAAAATCTATTAACTTACCAGACCACTAGTTTTCACCAACCCAAAAACTCAAACAAGCATCTAGGGTTTATAAGAAAAGCTTCCACTATCTCGCTGTACCTGCCTCTCTGGTGCCTGTCCCACCAATGTATTTTAAAGCTGCCTTTATTTATGACTTACTTTCTTCTCTAAAACCATAAAAACTTTATGAAACTGTTTCCATGTTGGAACATGAATTTTGGAGTAGCCTAAATACATGTTCCTGGACCATGAACACTTAAAATGGTTACAGAAAAAACTCTCTCTTATTTCCTTAAAAAAGATATGAAGAATAGTCATTTTATTCTCCTTCTCCCCCCTGTCCCCTTGATCATCGTTAAGCCTATTTTCACTAAAATTCAAAGTCAGTCATTTAGAGAATATTCAATGGTCAGAATGAAAGACAAGAAGGCCCAAGATAAACTCTAAGCACAATGTAAGAGTAAATAACAAAAAGGGGCCTTAACATTTTAAGTTTACTGACTATGTTCCTGAGCACTGGGCTTTCAAAAGACAAAATGCACAAGACAGAGACTACAGCCCATCCCCTTCTCCTCCAGACCTGGGATGTGATTAGAATGGGCTCTGAGATGCCAGAGTGAGATCACGGCTAATAGGATCTATTGACATTATTGAGTGTAGTAGGAACCAGAAGATAGGACCTATCTGGAAAAAGTAAGTCATTGGAGTTATATTCTTGGGAGAGTGTACTGGGGCCCTAGCTTCTCCCCTAGCACATAGCTCGTTTCTTAGCCAATACGAGGTAAATAGCTTTCTTTCACTATAGGCTCCCTACCACAAGGTATTACCACACTATAGGACCAAAGCAATGAGGTTAAAACCACCCAGGAGCTGAAACTTCTGAAACAGTAAGCCAAAAAGAAATTTTTCTCCCTTTTAACTCTTTTATTTACAGTATTTCATCACAGCAACAGAAAGGTGACTAACACTGAAGGGCAACAGAATACTCCGTGTCTTTTAATAAAATCATTCTGGCTCAGGTGCCGAGAATGGAAAGAACAGGGAGGAATGCTGGAGCCTGGGAGACAGTTAGGGGGTTGACAGACTAAACAAGATGTTATCTGAGAGTATCACTAAACCACAGTACCTCTGAACTAGACCTAACAACAACAAAATGACCGACTGCTCTGAAAGGAATAAAAGGAATGCCTGTCTGAGACAGACAAGAACTATGCCTCCTAGCCCTCATGCCCTTGTCTAGCTCCCCCCAACCCCGCCTCTTGAGTATGTGACAGCCATTTAACCGACCATGTGATGGAGACGCTTTGCCAGTTCTGTCATAAGATTTAAGAAAGCTTGGCAGCCTATGCTTTTCCTTTCTTAGAGAAAAGACAACTACGGCATGAAAAATCTAATGACCCAGAGATTCTACTGCTGTGAAAAGCCCAAACAAGGCACATGGAGAAGAACCAGGTCCCTGCCACAGCTCAGCTGAGCTTCCAGTCTTAGCTGGCAGCCAGATTCCACTCACCGGTCATGTGAGTGGGACTATCTTAAGAGTAGGTCCTCTAGCCCTGTGAATATCCCAGGGGACATAGGGAGAGAGACAGAGTCAATCTGTCCCTGCTGGCTCTGCCCAAGTAACAGAATTATGAACAAATCAATAAAATAGCCATTGCTTTAATTCACTAGGCTTTGGCAAAGTTTTTTAAAATGGCAATACATAGCAGAAACAATGACATGGAGTGTGAATGACTCTGCTAATAGTGATCAGCCCATCAATGGGACGAAGAGGCTTATGAGCACAATGCCCAGCATTTTCTCACCTGAACAGCATCACCATTGAAGATTCCATCTATGATTAAGTAAGTCCAGAACACAGGCCATTCACATTCAATGTTTTCGAAGAGCTTAAGTTCAGCAGGGTCATAATGCAAGCGATGTGGGTCCTAGAACCAAATAGAAAACTTTTAGAAAAGGATGTTAGATTTTATATACAATGCCACTGTGCCTCACTGGGTTTTCCTTGCCTGCCTCAGTCAGTGCAGCTTTGGTATGATTAGGAGTCTACTATCATGGGGAAATGCTAGTTTGGGCAAAATTTTAGACACTAAATCAGAAACACACACAGACTCCTCAGAAGATAATCTGATTCATTCATATCATTGAATTAGTCACTGTGGCAGTAAACCCAAGGAGAAGGCTACAGATTACCTTTAAAAAATAAGGTGTGAGCCACAGACTTAGTCATCCTTGATTTACAAACTGGTTTCACATTACTGGCTTGACCTGATGATCATTCTTTTCTACTTAACTCCAGGCTTGCTGACTCGAAAATTATACTTTCCTTCCCGATAGTCAACATATAATTATAATCCGTAGAGGGAGAATGACACAGTGGCAAGTAGATATGGAGAAGTTAAGGAACAGAAGAAATGATATTTAAATACAACCTCTCTTGGGGTTTTATAACCATCCCGAAGGAAGCGACAGCATCCATAACGGCCCTGGTAAGGTGAAGGTAAAAAAAAAAAAAAAAAAAAAAAAAAAAAGCAGAGCTGATGAAATCAAAAATTTTTCTTTGCCTTTTAATTTCAACTGAAGTCAGTCCTTCATCCCCTTTCCCTTGTGTTTTTCAGTGAGCAAATATGTACCAGCGTTCTTTGCTTTAATGTAAAGAATTCTTTTAAGTACTAAGCAAAGCAAATTGAGACCTGATGAGTACTCAGAAGAGAATACAGAAGCATCCCATCCAAGTCTGGGGTGGGGCTGCAAATATGATTATCAAGGACTCAGTGAGTGGCCACTCATTCTGCATGGTTTACAGTATTAGACACAGATGCAAAGGTGTCCTCACTAGGTGAAAAAGCCACTGATATTTGGAATGCTTGGCTCCTGTGTATATATCTGGGAAGTTAAAAGGATACTCTGCAGATTCAATGTACTCAAGCCATACATGCTGAAGAGGGTCTGCTTCAGAGGCCTAGCAGGGCTTGAAGGAGGGGAGGGGGTTGAGAGGTGGACGTATAGAAGGGGGTGCTTCCTGAACTCACTATGTGGCAGCTGGTTCACTGGATGCAGATGCCAGGGCTCCTCTCCAGCTTTCTGGATGTCAAGAAAGGAGGCTGGGTGCGATGGTGTCTTATCTGATGTCCCTAATCCCTGGATGGTACCTTTGGGTGCCTATTTCCCAGTTTCTTTTGGGGTTTGTGCTGTCCTGGCAGGCTTAGCTATCACTTGTCCTGGAGGCTGGTACAAGTTCTGTGAAGTTCTGGGAATCATCCCTGGGGACTTGGCATAGAAGTCACTTGTCCCTAAATCACCCCCTTTCTCCACAGAGCCTCACCCCTCCAGTTGCTTTCTTTTTGGAATATGACGGGAGACTCTTTCATTGCTTTGTCTGCAAGGGACAAAGGTATTTATCACTGAATATAGGTGGGACAATCAACATGTAAGCTTTGACTTAGGAAACTTTCATCCTTGAACAATTTTATGGGTTTCTGTTTGCTGAAAATGTAATATGGTCTCAGCTTAGTCATCTGTTAACTGCATTTCACCGAATGGAGTAACAGATATTCCCCATTCAAATTTTTATTAGAATACAAAAAGGAGTTTCATTATATTTCATAATAAAAATATTTCCTAATTTTTATATTATTGTACTTTGTTCTCATTTATCTCCTATTATGTTCTTGTCTCCCTTTCTCCCTCCACAAGCTTCTTTCTATAAAGTCAACCTTTCTCCTTTTATGTGGCGTGTGCATACATGTGTGTGTGTGTGTGTGTGTGTGTGTGTGTGTGTGTGTGTAGACTAGAGGTTGATGTCAGCCATTTTCCTCACTCCCCCTCCACCTTATTTTTTTTGACACAGAGACCCACTGAACCTGGGATTCACCAATTCAGCTAAACTGGTTGACCAGCAAAATCTTAGGGGTCTACCCATCTCCTCCTCCCCAGCACTGAGATTATGGATGTGTGCTGCTGTGTCTGGATTTTTAAGTGGGTGCTGGGGATGTGAACTCAGGTCCTCATGCTTGCACAGCAAGCACTTGGATACGTGCTTTTGTTCTGGCAGGGTCTATAGAGCTTTCTAGAGATTCTTTAGGGAATCTTCCTATAACCTCTACAGCAGTAGTCCTTAACCTTCCTAATGCTGGGATCCTTTAATACAGTTCCTCATGCTGTGGTGACCGCCAACCATAAAATTATTTTGTTACTTCATAACTGTCATTTTGTTGCTGTTATGACTTGTAATATAAATATCTGATATGCAGGATATCTGATATGTGACCCCCATGGGAGTCACAACCCACAGGCTAAGAACTGCCAATCTAGGAAAAGCACACCATGAACTACAAGGATAAGCTAGCTGCCCCATGTCATTACATGAATTTGACATTTAATGCAAAACAGAGGAACATTGGCCAATGCTTACCTGAAGCTTGGAAATGATTTCATTTTTGGTCACATTTACTAGGTTCACATCTTCTACTGCAAAGGCCGGAAAAGAAATAATAGAAAGAAGTCCAGCATCGATTTCTTTAGATGTTGATGCTCTTGGCAACATGGAGAAAAGAATTGACTGAATAAAAAACAAGGAGGTAATTTAAGCTAGAGAAGCAGGACTAGTTAGATATAGTATCTAGGGATCATTACTTTGGCCTAAAGGAAACATTCAAATGAGTTTGTCTATTTGGAGGACTCAGTCTTAGCAACATGGCAACCACTGGCCACCCCTGCTTACCCAGCCACACAGACAATGCTTCCTCTTCCTTAGGAGAGGAGGAGGGAGTTGAAGAGAGCATGATAGTCTGAGGCTGGTGCTAAGAATTGCTATCTCCCTTCTTTCCATGTCCACTGATGGGGAGCAACTACAGCACTGTTTGTGTCAGCAGTCAAGATGTCTAGCTACAGATACAGAAACCAGACAAGAACACTCATACAGGACCAGCACAGAGAAACGAATGCTTTTGTGAAATGGGACTAGGTGAATTAGGTAAATTAGAAACCACTTTAAGGAAGAGTAAAATTCGTAAGATCTCATGAGTGGTCAGACAAAATGGTAAGAATTAGTTTAGTTCCAGATTTTTTTTTAAAGATTATCAGAGGCACTACAATATGGCCTCAACAGTAAGGTAGCTAGATAATCGTAGAAGGGGGTTAGAATAAGAAAATGTTCGGAAAAGTAAAGGAACTAATGTTGAGACATAGCATATACAGACACAGGCTAGACACCTGCAAAATCAAGCTTATTAAATATTCCACCTGAAGATAGAGATAAGGCATTATACCAAATTAATATACAAGGACTCTGAGACACAGGATTCATGCCCAAGGTCATGTAGCCAGTGATCAAGAAGGATTCGAACCCAGCTTATACTTTCCCACCATACTATATATCTACTAAGAACACATATCAATATTCCTTTATTAATGTATACTGTAAGAAAATACCATAGACTTCATTAAAGACTATGCTAAGTGGGGAAAATGGAATGAACCAAAAGGTGGGGTTAAGATGACTAGAGCCCTTCAGCTCTAGAATAAAACCTTTTTTATAGTCAACCAATTCTTAGCTCAGTTCTTTTATACTCGTGAATCATTTAATGAGTGGCACATTCTTGAGAAATACAGCATTAGGTCATTACATCATTGTATATGTATCAGACTTACAAACACTTAGATCGTATAGTTGACTACACACATAGGCTGTGTGGTACATTTTGGTCAATAAGAGACAAAATACATTATGATACTACAGTATATGTCATCCCTCATTGATCAAAATGTAACTATAAAGTACAAGGTTATAAGCACTCCTTTTCAGCGTTTCTCTGCCTGGAAACACAAACTCTCACTTGAAGCTTTTTACAAGTGTTTTGGGTTTAGTTTTTCTTTTGGAGACAGGGTTTCCTATAGGTTAAGCTAGCCTTGATCTTGGTAATTCTCTATGTAGCTGAAAATGAGCTTGAACTTTTGGTCCTCCTGCCTCTTCCTCCTGGGATTACAGGTATGCACCATCAAACATGGTTTATTATTTACAAGTTATGTATCTGACTCACTTTAGTCTCAGCACATAGTAGGTCCACACTAATAATTAAGGACTGTCTGATTAGTGGCACCCCCTACACTGTACCAATTATTCCAGTGACCTGTACTTCAAAGAAGTTCTATGAATGTGCTGTTTCTCACATGTCACCTCCCCTCTCACCCATTCTGCACACCATGCCTCCTCACTTCAAGTGAAATGCCACTTGTCAGCCACTCCATTTGGGAGCACTAAGAAACAAACCTATGAGAAAACCACTTAAGCTCTCAAAAAACATAAAACAGATTTTGCTTCTAGCACAACCAAGATGCTTTGGCTGTGAGCTCCACACAGAGAGAATCATTATGGCTTATGTCTGCATAATACTTTCTGAAGTACTTGGGCAAGTTGTCCAGGTTCATTTACTCTGATCCTTATGAGGCAGGAGGGAAGGTGCCTATGTACATGCCCAGTTTATAGATGAGGAAGCCGAATCACAACAAGTCAACTCAGTAACAGGAAGTAGAGCCCAAGCCTTTCCTGGCCAGGATTCTCCTTCCCCACTTTCTGAAGCTCTGGAGGAATGACTATTACCTGGCAGTGCTCAACTTCGTCAGGCAGGACATGGATGACTGATTTGCGTCCTCCATGGGCTCCAAAAAGATCGAGTTCATCAATTGCCTCAAGTGCTGCCTACACAAATGGGTGACAATTACTTTTCTGTTTAATAAGCACACATACGCACTAATATGGCACTCCTTTTTCATTAAGCAATCTAACATACACATTTCTCCTAATAGCAATGTCTTTCGGATCGAGCTGGAGTCCTATTGTCATGGTCTCTCTTCATTTTCAGAAGCTCAGAGCCTTCCAGGATGACACTACTCATTCTTTTCTTTCAGATTTTTTTTAAAAAAATTAAATTAGAAACAAGCTTGTTTTACATGTCAATCCCAGTTCCCTCTCCCTCCCCTCCTCCCCTGCCCCACACCAATCCCCTATCCCATCCCCTTTCTGCTCCCCAGGGAGGGTGAGGCCTTCCATAGGGGTTCTTCAGAGTCTGTCATATCATTTGGTAAAGGGCCTAGGCCTCTATGTGGGATGGGCTCGCAAAGTCCATTCCTATGCTAGGGATAAGTACTGATTTACTACAAGGGGCGCCATAGATTTCCGAGGGCTCCTCACTGACACCCATGTTCATGGGGTCTAGATCAGTCCCGTGCTTGTTTCCCAGCTATCAGTCTGGGGTCCAGACACTACTCATTCTATGAATAAGAAAGAAAACACAGGAAAATACTTCCTCATATAAAGTAATATTCTACCAAAAGATGGAATAGTAACAAGTCTGTAACATCATGTGTGGGGGCACTAAAAATTCTTTCACTTATTTTTGCAGTTAACCTACCTCAGAGTTGATTGAGAAAGTTATTTTGGCTTTCAGTAAAAAGTACATTTTCTGTCAGTTTGGCATAACAGAACATATTCATTGTTGCTTTTAAAACTGTGGCTCTGGAGCCTTCGTGCTGTCTAAGCAGTTCATGTCTATGTTGAGAAGGAGGTGCGAAGGAGGCACACTACATGTCTTCAGCAAGAGATTCACACTAGTGGCCTATAGGCTGGAAGGGCCCCACAGGCACATCCTGTTTGGCTTTAAGAGTTCCCCGCCTCCCCTCTTGTCTTCTGGTCTCCATCCCTGTCCTGCCTTGTCCTATCACCTCTCTTCTCTTTTTCCTTTTTAGAACACGGCCTCAGTATGCTGCCCAGGTTGGCCCCAAACGCCTGGGTTCAAGTCACCATCCTGCTTTAGTATTCTGAGAAGTTGGGATTAGAGGTACACATTACAGTGCTGGCTTGAAGACCATTTTTGTAACTGGTTTTGAGTTTAAATACTTTCAGGGACAGTTCCCAGCGTCCCCCACATCTCCCTCTCGCTCTGTTCCCTTTCTATCTGGCCAGCTTCACTGATTATTGTTACTTATCTGATCTTGTAGACTTGACCATGTGCATCTCATCCACAAAATGCTTGTGCTACCTTCACTATGACCTAGAGAGGAAGACTGGCCACCACTAACACAGCTTAACAGCAAGAGCTTGGACCCATGAGTGACAGCAAATCATAAGGGTTCAACAATGTATTTTCCGTCACATGCAGATTTCAGTGCTGGAAAGCTATTTTCTTGACCTATAATTTCACTTGGCTGGAGTACAGATGCCACTTGAATTTCATATATTTGCTGCTGACTTTTGAAAAATAAAAGTACTGGTCATATTAAATCCAAATCCCCGAAGAAGAAAACCAGACAAAGAAGTAAATACACACAGAAGGGAAAACAAACAGGGCTGTCACCTTAGCCATTCCCACAGAGCTTGCATTCAGTTCTGGAATGCCCTGATTAGTCTTATCTCCACGTTCCCACATTCCATAATCCTAGGGGAGAAAAAAGGGAGCCATCAGAGGTGGGGGAGTACATGAGAAATACTATGGAAAAGCAATTTCTTTATGTTAGCACAAACACAATGAAACATGAGTATGTCTTCTCAAAGGCTTTGTGGCTTTATATATTCATTCTGTTCTTGCTCAATTTCAGCTTACGTGGCCTCCGCAGAGAATTCTAGAATACTCAAGTGGAACAAAAGAGCACACAAAGACACTCTGAAGGATTATTTCGAAAAGGCATTAATTTGTAACAAACTCAATTTGCAGTGAACAATATATTTTACTTATCTTAAAATCAAAGTGCTGCCCTTCTATTTGGCCAATGCCTTTGAACTTATTTAAAACAGTTTCAAAAACTATTTTTAGCATTACCTCTTGTGTAAAGAATATGTTCAGTAAGTCCAAGGTCAAAAGTGAAAAAACTGAACACACATGGTATTCTAGATCCATTCATGCAAATTAATTCAGAATATTGTCAAACCCTAACAAAATCCAACATGGCTGCCTAAACATGACACTATGAGCAAATATGACACCAATAGACATGTTAACATGGAAGTGTAAAGGCTCATGAAGCCTCAACCATAGACAAAGAACTACAGGCAACTAAGATATACTGACAGTGGGAATCATGGTCTTCCCTGAGCACACCAACTCGTTATCCAATACCAAATGGTTAACCCTGAAAAATATATATACAAGTAACATTATACAGACACAGTAGATTATATTTAGATATTTAAGAACACACACACACACACACACACATACACACACACACACACACACACTAAAGAAAAAGGCCATGAATTTGAAAGAAATCAAGGGGGTATCTGGGAAGGTTTGGAGGGAGGAAAGGGAAGGGGGAAATGACATAATTATATTACACTCTCTCAAAATAAAGAGCATGGATTAATATGCTCCATAGTGGCTCCTAGTATGTAAAGTCATGAAAATTGAAAATTAAGACTAATGACTTAGAATGGGGGGGTAGTAAAGACTTCAAATATGAAAACAACCAGGTATAATACTTATACCTGTAATCCCAGCACCTAGAAGCAGAAGCAGGAGAACTGCTGAGTTTGAGGTCATCCTGTCTCAAAAAAATTTAAAAATAAAAATAAAAAAGGAACAAACTAAAAGCCAAAACAAAACAAAAGCAAGGAAAAACGTTTTCAAATGTGAACACTGAAACCTAGATACTCTAGTGCAATTGGAGACTCTGCCTGCAAGCAGGCCTTGTAGCTGGATCCAAGTGTCTTTTCTCATATTGGAGCATTCTTTTGCTCCTAATATTCTATACTCCAATCTAGCAGCCATAAAATTCATCCTTGAAGACTGTGTGATAAGTTCAGCCTCCATTTCAGATAAATTGAGCAATAGTTTCTTTTCCAGTAAATAACATCAATGGCTCTCTGCATGGCCATACCCTCTATAACCTGGCCTGCACCTTCAGCATGCCAGCAAGTTGACAGACACTCCACCATTTCCAGTGCCAATTTTCATCTGAAGTTTGTGCCTTTACTCTGTACCCTCTACCCCAAATGCTCCTCACCTCTGCCTTCCTTAAATCACACCTTCTCCCACAGCCTCTTTCTGTCTGCAACTGCTGGTTACTCATACTATCCCTGCACTCAAATGCCCTTTCTCTTCCTCTCTACTCATCTCCCAAGGTCCAAATGAAAGTATACCTTTCCCACAAAGATCTCACAAGTTTCTTTAGACTGGGGTCTCTCAATTTTGGCACTCCTGACATTTTGAGACAGATAAGTCTATACGTAGGTTTGAGGTGGCTCTCTTATGTATTATAGGCAGTTCCTGGCCTACATACATAAGATGCTCTCCTAAATGTGATTGCCCCAAATGTTTCCAGATACTATCAATGTCCCCTGTGAAAGAACAATTACCTATCAACACAAATCACTGCTTTAGAACTGGGATTAGAAAACTACGGCCCTTGCTCATTTTTTTAGGAAGTTTACTTGAGACACAGCTGTGTTCATTTGTGTACACAATTTCTATGTAGCTTTCCTGTTGCCAAGTTAAGTAGCTGCAGAAGCCATACTGCCATCTGCCCTTTCCTTACTACTTTAACAGGCAGCCTTGCAAATCAGTTATTGTTGAAAGCAGTGGTTGTCAACCTGTGAGTTGCAATCCTTTGAGAGGCAAATAACCCTTTCAAGGGGTCACCTGAGACCATGTGGAAACACAGATACGTGTATTATGATTCATAGCAGTAGCAAAATTACAGTTATGAAGTAGCAGTGAAAATAATTTTATGGTTGGGGGGTCACCACAACATGAGGAACTGTATTAAAGGGTCGCAGTGCCAGGAAGGTTGAGAACCACTGCTCTAGAAGCGTATCAAGCCTCACCTTCCAACACAGACAGAAGCCTTGAGGAAGTAAACTGTTTATATTCATAGTGTAGCCTTTGCTTGTGGACTGATGGGGTATCCCCATGGTTCCCCAGTTCCCATTAAGACATCAACATGGCCCCCTTTTCAGCCCAACTGATATCCTATGGGACATTTTAAGGTGTTATTTATACTATAGTAATGTATTCAGACAGAGTGTATGTATGTATACTTTGCATACAGAGGTGCCCCATTCACACAGCTTGAGCTTTTCTAACATTCTAGTGAGCCCCAAACAGCTGACTTTCAGAGAACTGGCTGATTTTATCTGTCTATCTGTCTGTCTGTCTGTCTGTCTGTCTGTCTGTCTATCTATCTATCTATCTATCTATCTATCTACCTACCTATCTCATCTATCTTGACAACTGGAAAAAAAGACTACCAGCATGGGTACTTACGGCAACTTTATATGCAGCTTCTATGTAAAAGACAAGATTCTGTATGAAGGCCACTTCGTCAAGGGTGAAAATAATACGCAAGCCTAATAAAGAAAAGTGATACTGTGAAGAGATACTGTGAGCAGAGTTGCCAGTTACACACAACAAATATTTTGCTAGCAGATAGGTAGATCTTTTTTATCCCATCTTCACTTTTCTTATTGGGCATCAACAGTTAACTCTGAAGTAAGTCCTAAGGTTGATGCCTCATGTCAGAAAGCAGAAGGGAAGCAGAAGGAAAGACAGAAAGTGGGGTAGCACCACCACTGAGAGTGTGACTATGGGACAAAAGTTCAGAGATAAGGCACAGGCTCTCTGACACATTATGTTTGTGCAGAAAAGATTCCAACAAAGCAGAGGTTTAAGCCCAAAAGTATTGGTAGCACTATCCCTGGCCTTGAGTGAGTCAAAGCAAAACTAATTTCTGTCTATGGGTGACAAACTAGGGCCCTGCATTCCCTGCCCGATCCCAGACACAAATCTGTATCATCTACTCCTAATTCATAGTACTTGGAATGTTCTCAGTGTGTCCCTCTGACTGCAGTGTTGCTAATGTGACAGTATCAGAATGTGAGGGCCTATATGAGTGTAGGCCATGGAGGGATTAGGGCCCACACACAGCTTCACACAGCATTCAGTTCTCAATGCATCTGCCATGTGAACACAAAGCTTTCTTCTTCAGAGGAGGATGCTGCTCTCACCAGATAGCTGAACTTGTTGGTACCTTAATCTAGGCCTTTTCAGCCTCTAGAATTGTGAGAAAAGCAACTTCTGTGCTGCTTAAATTGCCCAGTCTTGGGTATTTTGTTGTCGTAGTACAAATGGGCAGACACTGCCTCCTTCACCTTCAGATCTGTCACTCAAATGGCCGTGGCTCACCTGAGGCAGTCATCTGGGCCAGGAACAGGAGGAAGAGGGAGGTGGCATCCACTTGAAGGTGGCCCCACTGGTCATCACCCACCACGGTACTGCAAGTAGCAGTGTTGTACTTGGCATGCAGACTGTCCTTGGTACTCTGAGTGTGCTTGAATTTCTCCACTTTGTCCACCTGAAGAAGAAGGCAAGATGGCATCGCACAGCTATGCAGGCTCATAATTGGCAGATGTCATATGCAGGGATAATCACTGAGTCTATTAGACCTCCTATCTTCTATCTCTGGGAGCCAGGAGGATGGCAAGGAGCTGCTAATGAGCACTACATAGAGGGGCCATGATGGAGACTCTTGCAACTCATTCAATGGAGATACCTCAGCCCAGAGTTCATGGGTGAGGCTCAGGTCAAAAGGTCTCCTTGTCCACAGACTCCCCAGCAGTGGTGCATGGTAGATTCTCAAGGACATAGGGAGGGAAGGAAAAGAGTCTGTTTAAATGCCAACTTCTCTTTACTTAACATGGCAAAGAAAAGAGCAGAATGCCTTCGGCTATTCCAACTAAGGGTGGGTGGTAGCACAGGCACCTCTGAAGCAGTGCAGATCCTTGTAGAAGGTTCTGTGTATAATATTGCAACAAATGGTTTCATTTACCCTACACTGAAGATATCAGTAAATAATCATGTAAATTTAAAACCATGAATTACACTGATTTATCTTTTTGTGTGTATATGTGCAGACATGCATGTTGCAGGAGGGCAGAGGACAACTTGTGGAAATCATTTCTCCCCATCTAGCAGGTGGATGCTGGCATCAGGCTCAGGTCTTCAACCTTAGTGATTACTGATTCATCTAGCTCACTCCAATAATGAAAAAATTTAAAAACTCAAGCACTTGATTGGAAGTGAAAACACTCAGAATAAACAATAAGTAGTATGTGGGTTTCTCTGAGTGGTTTTATAATATTCTTTTTTCTAAATAAAAAGACATGTTCTCCTTTTATACACATAAATCTTCGAGAGAGGGCCTTCAAAACTGTCCTTTGAAACTGTGGTTCTATAGTGTAATAAAATTATTGAGGATAATTTTAAAAAGAGGAAGTAAGCAAACTATTTCTGGTTTTTCTTCTTGAGGAAGTTCCAAATGTAACAAAGATGTCCTCCCAATTACAATGGCATCAATGCACATGCCAATGCTCTGCAGGTCCTAGTCTTTCACACCCCACCTACCTGTCTCATCATGCAATGGAGAAGACCTCGCATCAGCTTGACCACATTCTGTGGGAAAACGGCAGCATCAGTAACAAGGCTTCAAGAAACAGATTACTCATACGTGGCCAATAAGCCAGTGTTGCGTGGCAATGTTCCAGAAAAGACAGAGTCCAACTACACATAAGTATTCTGATTGTTCACGTTATTAAGACTTTTCTACTCCATCACAAAACAAATATTTTGACAAAGTGATTTATCTCAAATAAAAGAGTTGGAGAAGATGCATCTTTTGGGCTCTGGAATTCAGTGACTCCCACCTGACATTTTTATAAGCTTTGTATTCTGGAACTCTAGGTTACATTTCTTAGTAATTTATTTTTGTGATACTAAGGACAAATTAATCCTACCATGCCTGTCCAAAAGTAAAGATATTTTTCCAAAAGAGCCATTTGTGACACCATTATTGGGCCACTGAGAAAAGTTCTTAAAAATACAAGTGGTATCCAAGATTTTCTAAATAATGTGATTATTAAATACTGCAATCAATTACTATCACTACCATCATTCTAAATTGTAACAATGCTACATTTATTAATTAGACACTGCATCCAAATGCTGTGAAAAAACACTTATATTATTTTGAATTGGAGCACCAGACTTACAAGAGGGGTGGTATTTTTACCTCAGTTTCTACATGAGGAACCTGAGCCTGAAGGAGATGAAGTAAAATTGCTCAACTTTGTGATGACAAAGGGTGGAGGAAAACAAAACCTAGATAATCAGACACCACAAACTGAAAGAAGTTTCTACGTACAGGCATGGGTGTATCATGGCACATACCATGCCTTACAGGTGACAGAGTAAAGGGGCCTGAAAGTTTATGGACAGGGAAAATTCTGGAAGTCAGACCCTTCTTCCTCTAAAATCCTAGGATCCTAGAATGTAATTCCAATTTTTGTTATAAAATCCACAAGTACAAGGTAAAGTCAGCACTGTTACAATGCTTACACTGCAGACAACACACACATTTGTCAACTGACTTCCCCTTAAACTAAGTAAAGCTATTTCCCAGGAGAAGAAATAAGTACTTTCCAACTAGTACTAATGCTGCCAAACCCCAGTAGTGGGGAAGCATCTGGAAATGTGGGGATAGGGACATTCTAATTATAACAATGACAGAGGTGAAGGTTACTGGAACTTAATGATCAGGATCAGAGACCCTAAATATCCCCAAATGCACAAGACAATCTCACTCAATGAAAGACTGTGTCAATCAAGTCCAAAGTACCCCAACTGAATATTACTTGAAGATGTCCAGTAATTATTATTTTCCATAATCAAGAGTGATGTTTCCATTATTACTTATTTATTGAGACAGAATATCATTATGCATACCTGGATGGTCTAGAACTCACTATGTAGACCAGGCTGGCTTCAAACTCACAGAGATATATCTGCCTCTGCCTTCTGAACAGTGGGATTAAAGGTATGTACCACTATGCCTAGTCCCATCATTTAATTGACCACACATCAAATAGTAAAAGACATTAAATAGGAAACACTGTGGTCTGTTTGGGTTTTGGTAAAGGAATAGAAAATTTAATCAACCTTACTCTGTGTGAGTGCGTGCGTGTGTGCATGCGTGCATGTGATGGGAGTTACAAGACACCCGACATCAAATTATTACTCCACCTTAGAGTGTGTGTGTGTGTGTGTGTGTGTGTGTGTGTGTGTGTGTGTGTGTGTGTGTGTGTGTGTGTGTGTGTATGATGGGAGAGTTGCAAGACACCTGACATCAAATTATTATACCAGCAAATAACTGATTCACTCATCCATGCATCTTTCTGGAGGAGCAGTCAGTGATTGCTATTTGTAATTTTAAAAACTTTATAGACCTCAAAAGCTGAGTGATTTCCATCACTTCACACTGAGCAAGCCCTGGTCAAAGGCAAACTTTGCTCCCAGAGATAAGCGTCCTTCTTAGCTTTCCCACAGTTGTCAAATTTCCTTCATGCTGCTTATCACTCATGCCCATTTGGTTACTATAACAAGCAACAACCGGGCTGAAAGAACTTTTCCTAGGCCCAATCATTCACTAGCTATAAAGGCTGTCCAGGAATGTATGAATTAAAGATAAATCCCAGGACCAGGTGTTCATTTGCTATAGTGTGTACTTAAATTGTGTGAGGCCCCAAGTTCAGTCCCCACCCCCTGAATTCCATCTTTATAAAGATACACTTCAAATGTTCTCATGCCAAGATGATTATACTTTTGTAGTTCAGTGCCCCTTACCTAAACACTATTACTCAAAACATTTGGAAAACATCTCCTGTGCTCAGGGTAGAATATTTTCTTTCAACAACAGTAGATTTTGTCTTATTAGGTGTCTTGATTTTTTATTTTGGAAATTATTTTTCCCAGTACTGGGACTGAACATAGCATACCAGGCAAGCATTTTACCACTGAGTTACATCCTTCCCAATTTTGAAAACCTTAATAAAATATCTCCATTGAGCTTTATGGCAAATAACACAGGCACAAAAATTAAATAATTCCAAATTGGCTCAAATATAAAGGGTGACTATGAATAAGTAAGACTCACTTACTGGAGAATGGTGCAAACTCTAGAAAGGCATTTTTAAAGGATGTTTAAGAATTGTTTTAAGCAGTGGCAACAGCATTTAGATAAATATTCTTTGGGATATAACCAACTACTCTGAAAAGCACATGCTTTGGATGTCTAGCTCTGATGCATCAGCTTTTCTGCTTTCTATTTTTTTTCCTCATTTGGTGGCCAGGGTGAGGAGTCGGTACATGTAGTGGATGGCCATGCATCTACTTTTCATAAACAATCATGAGAGAGAAATATAACCAGGGAGGCATATATTAACATGTTGGGGGTAGGAATTTGGATGTTTTTGTTTCCCATCTAATGTAATTTGTGATGTTAGGTTTTATCTCAATCACAAAGATAAATGTGTGGTGTCAACCATCTGAATGCCTTCATAAAGTATCCTATAGCAGAAATGAAGGACTGCACCCTGAACTGTTCTGCACATACAAAGATTTCCTCATGGGTTTTGTAATTCAAGAAAAAGTACTGAGCAGACAAGACACTGATGTCAGTCACTATTACCTGTTCCAACTCATAGGCCTTGGCTTTATCTTCATCACGGTCAGCATTCTTGCGGTAGGCCATACCCAGGCCCCAAACAGCCAGTATGCTATAGATGTTGTCCCGTACCCAGGCATCCTTCTGATCATGGCTGGCTGATAACAGCCCAGTGACTGGGTTCTATTAGAGAAGAGACACAAAAAAATGCATGGCATCACCCTTCATAAATCTCCTATACAATTAATGTTTACCTATGGAGGTGGATGAGGACTTGAGAACAAAGCACAAAGAGACCTGAGTTCCTTTTCTCTGTATCTCAGATGACTCATTTGTATAACTAGTAGATGAGCCTAGAAAATGTCTAAGGAACTTTCTAATTCTTATGCTCTTTTTTAAACCTTCAGACCAGACCAAACTGTTTTAATGCATAAAAGAAAAGAAACACCAAACAGAAACAAATCTACCAGGCTTTACCAATCTGCCTATTGTAGGTTTCAGGTCTTGTTGGCCTTCATGTTTCCAATCAGTTGGTAAAGTACTGAACCTGAGAACAAGATACCTATGTTATGGGCCTTGATCCACTTCCTAGATCTATGTGGTCAGAAAAGCTACCAGCCCTGTCTGCTACCATGTCTGCAACCCAGATACTTCATTTATCTGACCAGAAGATGCTATGTAGGAAGGCATATTGGAGGCCTCATTAGCTGTGTTAACACTGATGTGTTCTAGAAAAGCAGCAAAGTCAACAAAAAGGTGTGAACCCTCTCATGAAAACTTGTTCACAAATGTTCACAACAGCACTATTCATATATGCTGAAAAGCAGAAATGGCAAGTATCTATCAACTTATGAATGAATAAAACATTTTCCTTTTCTTTCTTAAAAATTATTTTATGTGTATGTGTATTTTGCCTGCATGTATGTATGTACACCATGCACATGCCCGGTACCCACAGAGGTCAGAAGAGAGTGTTAGATTCCCTAGAACTGGAGTCATAGATGGTTGCAAATCATGTGGGTGCTGGGAACTGAACCAGGGTCCTCTACAAGAGCAAGTGCTCTTAACCACTTAGCCATTTCTCCAGCCCGGTTTTCTCTTTTGTTTATAAAGGATATTAAAGTTAATTAGGGTGGTAGATGAACAACCCCACGAATATACTAAAAAACAGTTGTGCACTTTAAATAAATGAATTCTAAAGTACATAAATTACATGTCAATAAAGCTATGTATATATTTGGGGGACTGGGATTGAAACTGGAGCATCCTATGTTAGGCAAATATTCTACCACTGAGCTATATTCTCAGTCCAATATTTTTAAATCCAACCCTAATAAAAACTGTGAGCCCACAGATAAAATGGTTAAGGAATGAGTCAAATGAAGTTGGCTGACTTCTGAAAATATACAAAAATATGTATGTAATAAAATATACTTTTATAATTAGAACCTTGCCACCTTAAAAATATCTTGCTTGCCAGTTTAATGCATTATCTGTACTACTACCAACAGGTTTTTCTGAGCCACCCAAATGGGTCTCTGTGTTTAAAGGTCTGGGGCTTTTGCCTGACATTGGTATGCAAATGGAGGGATACTGGTGACATTCTGCAAGCTTAAAAAATGTCCGTCTCAGTGGTACAGTGCTTGGCTGGCACACATCAGGCCCTGGGTTCAATCCAAGTGTAAAGCTAAACAAGAACCATTATTCAGAGGGCACTATATTATTTATAGGAAGTGTCATGAAAAATTCCATTGGGTAATTTTGAAAGGACACTGCCAAAGCTACTAGATTAAAAAATATTGGCAGTTTTTAATGGTCCCACACAAGAAAATAAATATTTGACTTTCTCTTTTAACTAATCTATACTCTCTAAAAATATCTAAAACGCAACAGATATCTGCAGGAGCAACAACATTCAATGTACTAAAACGGTTCTCCCGCCAACAACTACCAATCAATGGCTTTAAAGTCAATGAAAGTCTGTGGGAAATTGGGGTGCTACTGACTGCACTCAACAAAAAAGAATACTTTCTGATTTGCTTACTGCTTTAAATCTACAAAATAGAATGTGTTATGAAACAAGAAGATGTGGGAATTTCCACTCAGTCGCCAAGGGCTGAAAGTGTAAGCGTTATTCCTATAATGGATTGCTGAGTCTAAAAGAGTCACTATTCCTGAACATCATATACATAGCGTATGGAGCTATATCTGTTCCGAGGCCTGATGGATAAGTTTGTGACAGGAAGACATCAGGAGATCCTAAGTAAGACACCAATCTCTTCCTGGCATGCCCCATTAACCTTGAGTCTAAAACAGCTTTCCAACAACACAGGAGTGACAGCTTACACAATGTCAAATGTGGCTTAGATTATTAAATGTCACTATCCTGTTAACTAAAAGTCCTCTCTTTTATTCTGCTTAGTTAATCACCACCTTAGTTCATCTTCACCTAAGACTAGATTGTCTGTGTCCCTCATTCAATGACAGAGAAGCAGGAGGGTGTTCCAAGGGGTCTTATACTCAAAATTACAGGCACGGGATCCATGGAAAACTGGTGTGTTAGCTGAACACAACAACAACAAAACACTTTTTGATTTGCTTACTGCTTTAAATATACAAAACAGGAAGTGTTATGCAACAAGGTGATATGGGAATTTCCATTCAGTGTGACTCATAAAAACTGAGATGTCCCCAGATTTGTAGATACTCTGGTGCACTGGATTCTATTGTCCTTTCTAATAAGGATATTCCAGGAGTTTGTCTTTGTGTTCTTCTCCTACTTGGGGATGGTCTGCCCATATCCCCTGCATTTCCACCCTCTGAGTCTTGTGTGCCACCCAAACAGGTCCATTTCATTAGAGTCCTGGGGCCTTTGGATGAAATTGGTACCCAAATGGAGGGGTATCTGATGCCAATCTGCCAGCTAACCAGGACAAAGACAAATGCACCTCACAAAGAGGAGGGGATAGATTTGTCTAGGCCACGCTTACATTTCTGATATGATCACTTTAACTGTATGCTGCTTTTGGGTGGGTGGGAAGGTAGGGGAGAATCTAGGAGGAGTTGGGGGGAGAGAATATATTGTATGGAAAAATCTATTTTCAATACAAATGATTTCATTATAATTAAATCCTCATTTAACAATGCAGAAATATGGAGTTATAATCATATAGCTGTTTCTTTCAGCTTTCCCCCTTCTCTTTTTGCTGTGTTGCTTCTGCTCATATTAGCAATTAAAAAAAAAAACCTAGTCCATGTAATAACATATATGTGTATGTTTATGTATATATGATATTTCCCTTTTTTCTTTGTGCTACCAAAACTAAATGTCATATATTAAATATGATAATAAAGTGATACATATACATAAGCTTTGGTATAAATTCTTGCTCACACAGAAACTTTTTTAGAGGGTATCAGTTTTTAATGAGACAGGAATCATAGGATCACTGCTCACCTTGCATTTCTCATTCAGCACAACCTGAGGAGATCCTCTCAAGCCATCAGGAATAACTCAAATTCAAGAGCTTGGAGCTGCATAACATTCTATGGTAGATAAACTTAATAACGCATGCAGGGATCTACCCTTATGATAGATATCCATTACAGAGCTTTCATTACCACTACAAAAATACAACAATAAATGTCCTTACAGCAGATGCTGTTTTCAACAGTGGGCTTTTGTTCTGTCTTTTAAACAGGGATGAATTTTATTCAAGAGGGCTTCATCATCACAATCTGGTGACATCCCAAAGGTTTCCACCCCAGTACCCTCACCATGAAGATAATGGTTTCAGCATATACATCACATCATAGTCAGGGGAAAAGAACAACAACAAAAAGGAAAGAAACTTAAATTATACAACCCCCTCAAAGAGACAGTCCTCAATGATCTAAAGATAGCCACAAAATAGCATTTCTTAAAGATTTCACACATGAATTTGCAGATAATGCTCCAGATCAAATATATAATCAGGATCCACTGCTGTGGCATAATTTAACTTGAATAAACTTCTTAAACACTCTAGATGCAGATGCATATAGACACTTTGGGGTTAGCACCTAGAGGGGAGAGCACAAATCTTATCATAATATCGGTTTTTGCTTCTTGTTCAGAATGATGCTTGTTTCTGCATCAATTTAATTCACAGCTAGCATGCTAACACTTCAGAGAAAGAAGTCACCCGATTGCAACTCTGTATCTCAACATTCAGTATAAATATTATTATTTGCAAGTAACTCTAAAAATAATGGCTATCATTCCTGGAACATAGGGCACTCACAGCTTCAAGGACTTTGTACACATCATAAACAACACTTACTCTCCAGTGAGCTTTTTTTGGTATGGAATTCCTATATTGTCAGGTTCTATGTATGTGTGCTTTTAAAATAAACATTCTTCCTTCCTGTAAATAACTTTTTGATGTTTTCAACTTTTTGTCAGTCTAATGGTGTAAAGTGGCACTGCACTGCCACCCTCAAGTTTGTTTTATTTATTTCTCTGTCTTCTGGGAAGGGGCCACTGATTTGCTCTTCTGATAACTAACTTCCTGCTTCTTTCCTTCCTTCCTTCTTTCTTTCTTTTTCTTTTCTTTTTTTTTTTTTTTGTTTTATTCAAGACACGGTTTCTCTGTATTGTTTTGGAGCCTGTCCTGGAACTCACTCTGTAGACCAGGCTGGCCTCGAACTCACAAAGATCTGCCTGCCCCTGCCTCTGCCTCCCGAGTTCTGGGATTAAAGGCATGTGCCACAAACGCCCTGCTCTTCTTTTTAACCAGGAACTATTAACATAACTTTCCAGGTATCATGTTGAAGACTACAATCTCTAGACTCCATCTGTTCAAAACTCTACCACAAAATAGCAGTAACCTTGAACAAATTACTTCAGCACCTCTCTATGAGGTAGGTACTATACCAGTACCTCCACCTCATAAAACAGTTTGTGAGGATTAAATGAAGTCATGTGTATTAAGCACTTTGGAATACTTGACATATATGTGAACAATAACTGTACATTTAATATTAACAAACTAAACAGCCTTTATTCATGCTATTTATTTTTTCATGTTCTCATAATGTGAGATAATAGATAAAGATACATTGCCAGGGGGAAGAATTCACAGCAAGTACCATGTAACCATTATTGTTATTTTAAAAAGAAGGTTTGAAGGTTCTCCCTTTTA